AGCATTGCCATCATTCGTTTAGCGCATCAGAGTTTTGTGCCCCATTTTGCTGTCCATCTTGGAATATACTATATTCTTTGTCTTGTTACCTCTGCACTGCGATGTACTTCTTGACAATACCTTTAGAAAATGGGAGGAGCAGGGGCTAGAATGCTGACATGATTATTTTTTAAACAATACCAACATTTGTTCAGTGGGGCTGAGTAATGCACATTTCTTACCTTTACCTTCTTAATCCCTATTAACAGATGTGTCTTTTCAGCAAAGCTTCAAGCTTAGATACAGAATGGAGTTTGACCATTCACATTCATACCCATGGGCAAGAACAATACTTCAGAAAACAAACGCTCTTAACATCACAGCTTGGAAGCACAACAAAGGACAGTCAGTTGCTGTTGAAATTCTGCTGTTAAAGATGTAGTAAAATTTTGCAGTGATGCTCAGCTCAAATATTTTCCTTCCTAATGTACCAGCCCGTTTTTATTGTGAATCGTCTAGAGATTGAAGTAAACCTGGAAACAGACGTTGTGACATGATGAAGCTCGTTGCTTTCCTTGCAGCTACTCCCACCTACTTACCCAGCGGCCACAAATGTGTTAATTGTTTGTCAGTATAAGACAGTCTTAATCTTACACTGGTTGTACTGATGTGGATGTTAATTCCGAGACCCAACAGCTCTTTCCTTTGCGCTGGCTTTACTCCAGGAAAATGCAGTCCTGACCTGTGCCCCTTTGGAAGCACATGTGTGGATCTCTTCAAAAATTACACCTGTCAGTGTCTGCCTGGTCTCTACTATGATTCTTTGGGAAACTGTGTGGATGGTAAGTATTACTCTGCACAAAAGGGTTTCTGAAAAACATACACACGTAAGGATCCCTGAATACCACCATAATTTAATTCCTTTTCTGTAATACATGCATATGTGTACTAGTAGCAGGAAAACCGCATTTCTTGAGTATTTTCATATTGTCTCTATGCCTTTGCTGTATTAATCTAACTGCATTCAGTGTTGAAGGGGAATATTGAACAGCTTCCAAAATAAGTTAATATGTAAGTCCTGAAAATCAATTAATTACCTGCATGGCCAAAAAGACATTTTTGAAATCTAGGGATAGCTTATGTATTAACGTATGTGTATGTAAAGTACTTGTTGTTACAGAAGAAATCACAAGGTTTGACTGAATTGTTTGGACCCCTATGACAGGATAAGCAGTCATTTCAGAGTTCCTCATTAAATCTGTTTTTATTTAAATTCCAGCAAAAGTTTTTCCTGGAACTTTGCATCTGGTCAATATTAATTACAAGACTTCAATGTCTGATAAAAGCTCCAAAGACTTTAAAGAGACAGCGTTCTCAATTAGTACTGAGGTAAGTTAAAATTTAGTTTTTTTGTATGTAGACTTTTGTATATAAAGTTATTCTACTTCAGTAATTTTCTAACTGAATCTCCAAAACCTTACACTACCATACTTGCTGCAATCTACAGAATTTTTAACTCTTTTTAAAGCTTATTTTTCTTGTTCTTTTTTCTTTGTAAATTTATCATTTTAAGCATTTTAAGTATTTGGGAAAAGAAACCTTTAACTTAGAGAAGGTTCAGAAGATCACCAAGAGTAATACTGTTTATTCAGTGTGAGTAATGATTTTTGGGGTGTTGATCTGTGATCAGAATTTACTAAATAGCAGTGCATACTTGCTTTGTCCATAAAATCTTGAAAAAGTGAAATAAATATTTAATCCCAAGAAACTAATTAAAACCTGACATGACCTGACAACCTGACATCTACACTGAAGTGTTTAACTACAACTCTGAGCGATGTGCAGATTGCTTTGCCGATACGTGATTAATATCTGTGATGTAAGGATTTTCGATCTGCAGTCCCGGAAACGTTAATGATATTGTACAAGTCATTTGAAAGACCTTATTTAGAATATTGGTTGTAATTTTGATCACCATGTCATACAAAAAAGATATTGCTTCTCGGTATCCAGCCAGATACAATAAGTGATAAGATGTGATTCCTTGTGAGGGTCGGTAGACTATAAATAAAAAACCATTGGTGTGGAATGACTGCAGATCATGCAGTACTACCTGAAGAACACAAAAATTACCACATATATTAATATTTTGTGCTGAGAGAAAGATTGTCCAAGAGTCCTGGTAATGGCGACCATTAGCACATACCTAAAAACTGAAGCCTGCAGTCTAACCCAAGTCACCCATCCTACCAGATTAAAAGTATAATCCCAGCACTTGGTTGCCAGTTTCTGCTGGACAGCCCCTGACAAGCTAAAGGACTCTGTTGAGCTCTTGCTTTGTTTTTGACTGTTGGCAGGTGAGTCAGGTACCATTTGCTCTCAGGTAATAACATACTCTTACTTTTTTAATTTTTCTCACTTTTGTTTTCCTGTCAAGTTAAGAGGGATTCTGAAGAATACCAAAGGCTATTTGAATTCTCTTGTCCTGGAACTCAAGTGAGTATTGCCGTTGTGCATATGTGTGTTGCAAATCCCTTTTCACTTGTGTTCGGTTTGCGGGTTTATGTTTATCATGCCCAGACAACTGTGCCTCCTGCATGAGGGGCAAACACTGTTTCCCAGACCTGTTTACTCTCACCCCACCTCTGTTCGTACAGACCCCCTTGAACTTGTTATTTGATACGTGTCCAGTATGTGGGTTTCATTATTCTTGAATTTTTATTTTAGAAATTATGTGTTCCCTTGATAGCACACATGCAAAAGAAGATTTCAGACCCTGTGCAAATAACCAAACACGCTGATATAACAGTCATTTATATTCCATATCATCGCAGAATGCCAAGGAAGAGATCATAACAGAATGGCGATGGACTATACAACGTGTTTATATCTACAGGACGAAATTATATTCTGTTTTGGTCTTTCAGCTAATTTCTTTCCCCATCTATAAGTCAATGTTTGCTTTTGTCTTTTATGAGTTAAATAAAAGATCTTCTCTGTGTGGAAGGATTTTTGTAACAAAACTGACTTCATACTGGCAGTCAGTATTAAATGGTAAAGATATTGGTGCTGCTGTAACAACAACACATTTTTTCATTTTCCCCAGGCAAGGGAGTGTTGTTGCCTCTATACAGAATATTTACGAACCCAGCTCTGATGCCACTGTCTCCAGCGTCAAGGAGGACATTACAAAGGCGATCCAAAATTCATCTTTTTTCTTAAATGCATCATATACAGGTATTTTTCCTCTTCCTTCATTAAAAAGACAAGTAAAACAGGAAATGAGGCAATCTAATTCCCCATAGCTGTAAAGGTAACATACCTGTAGGTGTCTCAGCCAGACATTATTTAAAGCAAAATGTTTGAAACCCTCATTTGAAAAGCTCAGTAGTTGAGGAAGTTGAAGTTGAAGAATGTTGACAAGGGGCCCATTGTTTTTTAATTTAGGCTTGACGAGTATTTCTCTTCAGCGGCACGGTGGCACCGTAATTAACATTGCTGCCTTGGCCCTGGGTTCAGTTCCAGACCCGGGTTTCTGTCAGTGTGGGGTTTGGATGTTCTCCCCGTGTTTGTGTGAGTTTCATCCCACGGACATGCTGGTAGGATAATTGAGTTCTGGGAAAATTGGCCTAGTGTGTTTGTGACACTATGCGACCCCTGCGATGGACTCGCATCCCTTCCAGGGTGTATCCTGCCTTCTGCCTGTTGCTTGCTGGGATAGGCTCCAGCTCCCCTGCGATGGATGGATCTATCTATCATTTCTCTCTTTATTTCTCGTGCTTTATTATTGACAATTGCCCATACGTTTGGCTGGCCACTCCTGGCCCCTCCACAAGTCCAGGAGGGAGGGTGGAGACTCTGGACATTGCATGTCTGGGGTTTTTGTGCACACCCTGGCTGACTGCAGGCCACTGGGCAGGCACAGGCCAGTGGGATACAGATGGAGGGCTCAACCTGGGCCCTGAGCAAGACCTGCTATCCGGGGTGAGGCACTCGGGAGCCCTAGGGAATAATCCGTGCTCCCTAGTTTTCTCCCAGGAAGTTGTTGGTGCACTATAGGCTCCAGTTCATTGCTGATCTCACTCACCCAAGTCACTGTTTTTTTGTCTGCAGCTAGAGATCTGTGTCAGGGGTCTCAGAGCCCCTGTGACACAACATCAACTATTTGCAGCTACCTGGCTAGTGGAATCGCAAAGTGCACTTGCATACCTGGTTTTCTTGAGTCTCCGTACTCTAACAGATCTTGCATGGGTGAGTGTTTCTTAGACAACCCTTTTATACTCATCATGTTATGATGTGCTTTTTGTTGAATCTGTATCTATATGGTTATGGTGGTTTTAACTCCAAAAACATGGACACGGATGGAGTATTTGTATGCATTATTCATGGCTCCCACAGTAGACTTCTGTTATTTATTCTTGCCTGCCCACATGAATTGTAGATCTTGGTACAAGAGCACCAACATTAAAAGAGAACTATCCACAATTCTGTGGAGCTCTGATTTCTCCCACAGAGCAGAACTCATCAGCAGAGTAAAAGTCAGCTGATTAGCATCAGTTTGTGCAACTTATGCCAGGCTAATATCCCTGCCAAGGGCCTGCTGCGTTTTGTGCTCAGTGTTTTGCCATAGCTGAATTCTCTCCTGCAATTATGTTTTGTGAGCATTTCTATTGAGAGGGTGGACAAGTGTTTTAAAAATATGAACAGTCTAGAGTTCTCCGTTTCAGTATGGTTGTTTACATTAGCCAGTTCATATAAATGTAAGGAAGGGAAAATTACCTGTTGCCTGTAGGCCCTTTAAAATACATTGTATGAGGGCAGCTGACAAGAACTTGTGTGTCCTTGGCAGTCTGTGTGTTTTTTTTTCAACTCCATAGCAGTTTCTATGGATACAAGCAAAGAATTAACACTTCCTGCCAGTTCCTAGAATTTTGTTGTTGTTTGTAAAGAGAGGAACTACCCATAGCAGTGTTAAGATTTCCCCAGCTCCGGCCCCACAAACTCATTTCAGTACACAGGAATGTAAGAATGGCTTCAGATATTCAGTACATCTTGCTCATTTGGGTCTTACTGCTTATGGACCAAAATGCATTTCACCCTGTGTCGTTGTCCTTACTGTAATCTCATGGGTTGAGTTTGCCAGTAGATTTCAGTTCCATCAAGTCAACTCATAAACAGAGAAGATTAAGACTTGACAAGGTTCCATTTATGTGCTATTTTAGTGTTCCAGCCACTGACAAAGACATTTGAACACAGGATTCCTGGTGATGTGCTCTGAAAATGTCTTATGGTCAAATATGAGGGCTTACCACTTGGTGTCCTATTTCAGAAAGCAAAATTCAAACTCATTGGGTTTTTCATTCATTTTCTGGACTGCTGAAACCACTTAATTATCTGTAACAGGATGGCTCACTGTCATCTGTTCTTTTAGTTCTCAGTTACATACTGTATGTCCTAATTTTTGCATACAGCAATTGTAACACTGTTAAGTAGAGTCTGGGATATTTTCAGCTGTTAAACATCCCAAAACAATTCCTTTTTATGTTTTAAAATAATAATTAAGTCGATTGTTTAATTTACCTCTCAGTTTGATACAAAAGCCTGAAGACACTAGGCTAGGAAACTGAGACTGAAACTTCTGATTTGTATCATTGTAGCTGGAATTAGACTGAAACTATGAATATTATTGGCTTTTCAGATGTGTTGCAGTACTAATTCACTTGTAGTTAGTAACAGTATAACCATGTAATTGTTATGCTACTGTAATTACAGTGAAACTACTAAAAGTAGTTGTAGTTAAACTGAATCTGTACCATGTTAGTGTGGCTTTGTGAAATTAAATATTACCAATCTTATATCACAGATGTGAAGTTTTGTATTTGGCTCATGAAATTTTTCCAGTTTTATTATGTACACCCACTAACAGTATCTAACTCTGATTTTGACAGCTTGTCTCAGTGGCTACAAGCAGGATGGTGCACAATGTGTGAAGTAAGTACAGTATTTTATTTCTGAAGAATGTGAAGATTGAGGCCAGAATTAATATTCATGCTTAATGTCATTGCATGGTGCATAATCTTAATTGGTCTGATAGCAGCCAGATTAACTGTGTGAGTCCTTGAAGTCCAGGAGCTGCCAAGTGCTAAAGCTCACTTATGTGACCCTCAAGCGGGTGTGAGACAGGAATATAATTAAGCTCTGAAGCAGCCTGGACTTTTTTACAGTCAGTGAGTGTGGAAGTTGTAGTAAAGTGCTTTAGTTCCAAAGGATACAATCACACTTCCCAGATTACTCCTGCTGGTATTCTGCTGGCTCCAGGCTGGAAGTGAAATGGTGTTTCAAGTCATCTAATTCAGAATTAAAATGGTGTATAGCAAGCACTTTTTATTACTTAATTGATATGGCTTGTACCTAAACAATGAAAAATTTAGAGAAATCTTGGTTTTAAAACATCACTTTCATTTTTAATACCAGGTATACATACACAAGGGATGTATTGCAAGTAAAGGGGTGCCCAGTAATTAAAAAGGAAATGAACAATGTTCTTGGCATTTTGTTACAGCAGTTACAGAAAGATCTTGGTCTCACTCACTTATTATTACTGCTTGATTTCTTTCTGATTCAACTGCAACCTTCATAAAGTTTTCTGTCTTTGGGAATGTGTGAGGAATCCCAGCAGGTATACCATATGTTAAGGGATCCACAGCACCCTACTAATGCACAGTAGCCACTATGCTCTAACAGCCCTAATACTCTGTAGATCGGGTGGAGAAATTGCTTCCTCAGTGGGTAAATATTTTGGCTAGGACAGATTGTGTGAGCTCAGAGTGGAAATTATCCAGGAAACTGGAATCAACAACCCTGTTCTTACAAGCAATAAGACATGAGATCTTTAATAAACAAGTGGCCAGGAACTTAACATCTCAACCAAAGGCCAATGTCTTCTATAACATAGTGTCCTCTGTTGCCATACTGGGGTGCTGGTTAGGACATTGTGGAGCAGATGGAAAAGTGCCACCTGACAGAGCACATGCACCGTACAGACCACCAGTCTGGTTTTCCTTAAGAGATCTAAACGGATCATACTAGACAGTGGTACTGCTCTGTACCCAGGCAAAACCTGGAAACAGCACTTAATCTGTTCAGTTGGGCCATGGCTTGGCCATATAACTAAGAACTGAAGTAGGATGGAAAACTAGTATCTGTGCCCCTTAAGGCGCAGGACTGTCCTCTGGTTTATCTCACAGTGCTGGCACATCTCTTATCCAGTACTGTCGGACCTGTGTTCTTGGTCTCTCTTGAGACTGCAGCCAGGTACGGCTGACATGGTGGTTGCACAGCGTCTCATCCATCAGAAGGTGGCGTATGGGCGGGAGAATGTCTGTGGAATAGAGGAGGAGTTTGTCTGGGAAGACAAAGAGCAGCAGCAAGGAAGAGGCTCGTCCAGAGAGTAGAGAGAGAGATTCGGGCTCTCATGTCTCTGGCTAAGTTTGGAGGAGTAAAATGAACATGTCTGATTTGAACCTTTAAACTGTGTCTTTTATAGTATGTGGGTATCCACACTTTGTCTCTTTTATCTCTGTGTGATTACATTGTAATTATATAGTTTGCATCATTGTGTTTGTGTTGTTCACACTTATTATGGACTCATGTCAATAATAAGGATTGACTATTGATGAAAGACATAGCTGATTAGGAACAAAGTGCAGTTTATTCAGTGTTGCAGCACATATATTTGCTGGAAACAATTTGACTCCACTATATAAACATTTGCCTATTACTATATACCTCTCCTCTGGATCAAGTTACTTCCTGTTACAGTATGTTCTACCTATGAAGCTCCCTCCCAAATTGCCTCTGTATTTTTATTTAGTCCCAGGTTCATCTATGGCTTGCTTCTGAATGGTTTTCCCCTCATGGAGTGCTTAGATGACAGTTCCTGTTTAAAATCTGTAAAGAATTATAGGTTGGCTGTGGTTAACTTTGTTCATTATCTTTACAGGTGCCCGTTTGGTTATGCTGGGTTTAACTGCAGTGACTGTAAGTATCTTCAGTTCCAATTGAATTGTGTGCTTTTTCCCTGTTGGCTTTTTTTTCTGGTTTTGGCAATTGTTAGTTGAGTCAGGTCAAAATGTATTTCCCAAATCAATAGTGCACCCCTGTTTAAGAAATCTGAGTAATGACCAGCTAATGACATAGCCCAGACTTCTACAGACCAGAGAATACTGGTTTGAAGTGCGCTAACCAATCGAGAAACCCAGTGGTGTTTTAAAATATTTTTTACTCCAAAACTATGGAGGTTTTAATAAACAGCTCTTGGGATTTGATCAGTTGAGCCTGTCTATTTTCACCCACTGTGTCTAATTTTAGGCAGCTCTATTGTCCCGCTGTTTCCTGTAAAGTAGCATTGGGAGCCAGACACTTTAGTTTCTAACTCTATAGAAAATAAAGCTGCTTTTTTCTTCAGATTTGGCATAGTGAAAGTGGTCTGTGGACTTCCTGTTGGTTGATCTGTGGTGTCTTTGTGCTTGGACAAATTGCTCTTCACTGCCCTAGTACTGTCAAGGAAATCCCTCTGGTTGCAGAGTGCTTAATTCAGACAATACAAATGTGAAAGGGTGGAAAAAATTGTCAATGTAAATATGTACTTATCTATGTTATCTCCTTTTATCTTTAAAGCATCTCTGTTAGCAGTTGTGGTGATCTCCTGTGTTCTTGGTGGATTGCTGTTAATTGTAGTGCTGGCGTTTATTATCTACTGTTGTAGGTAAGAAAGTATTAAGTTACTTATGATTGTAAAAGTGTTACACATGTTCAGTCTCAGCATTGCGGCTGTAACACATTTAGTTTGACAAATTTAATGCCGGAGCCTTCAGTAAATCCTTGGTCTCGCAACTGTAAAAACTGGAAGAGCCCACAATTTTAAAGATAGATTTTTTTTTAAGACCAAAAAATAGAATTAAAATCAAATTCTAGTTTTGTTATATTGCCGTATCATATATTAGTTTTTATATGAAATGTAAAGGCAGTGGACTACAGTTTATTTTTTAGATACATTCAATTTTTTTTCTTTTGCAGTTACTCGGAATTTAATATTGACCTTTCTTTTATGTTAATCAAATATCATATCTCTTTTCCTATATTGGTACTGACTGTCCCACCTACAATGATCAGTTGTTCTGACCAGTGACCAGAGTAGTTATCAGTTAAACAGTCACTTATTCAAACAGCTGTATCAGCTTAGTAGAGATGTAACAGTTGGTTTACATAAAATTTTGTTCAGCTGAAGGGCAGCTTTTAGATTCTGTCCTTCCTCAAAGTGTCCCTCGATGATGGAGCCAGTGAGTGGGACTAGTCATTGAGGATAGTGTATAAGTAGACATACACAGCTAGGATATCTCTGAATTGAGACATGTCACTGATATTAGGAGCTAAGGAGGAACAGCAAGTTAGTGTACAGTGGAGGACTTACTCTAGAGTGCCACTAGGTGGCGCTGTGTAGTAGCAATAGTGATCACACACCTCACTGTGGCCAGAACTCCAAAGGTCGTATGATTACCATTGCTAATGCACATTTCTACCTACAGGCAAACTTGAATTGGTCTTCCACCTTACATTAGCGTCGTTCAGACGTTAAATGGTATTACATTCTTGTGATGTCAAAAAAGAGCCATTCAATTATTATCTGGAAGGTGTTTATTCCTGGTGAGAGTATAAGCAATAAGCTGGAGCCTCTTCTGGAAGAGCACACTCTGATGACCACACTCTGGATGTGCCACAAATCCATTGCAGAACACAAGCACAAAGGCAGAGTTTAGAGACTCCAAATAGTCTAGCCTGCATGAGAGGAACTGGAGCATCCATTGAAAACTCATAAATAGTATGGAGAACACGTTAGCTCAAAACAGAGAGTAGCTGGTCTGGAGTCAAACCCTGAACGTATGAGTTGGGAGGCAACAGCACTATCCTTTCCACTAGCCCGGTCTTGCCACAAGTTAAATCTGCTGACTTAATTGGTCTTAATTATCATGCTGTCCTGGAATGTAGACAACTTTTACGTTTTCTATAAATTCTGCAAGGATGTGGAAGACTGTCACCCCTTCGAGTTCCACACTTGCACTGATGAAACGTGTGCCTTTTCTCAGGAAAAGTAAGGGTTCTACCTACGGAAGCCCATACCCAGCCGAAGACTTCCTGGTGTGGCCCAAACAGGAAGTACCCAGAATCCCCCGTGCCTCTACCAGCTGGGACCCCGCCCCCATGGAGATGACCGAGAACGGCAGCACACGCGTCCTGGTCAACAAGCATCACCAGGGCAACGGGGCGGTGAGTGGCAACGGCTGATGCTGAGCACCCACTTATTACACGCAAAAACTGGAAATTAAACCAAAATAAGACCACAGCAAAATAAATTATTCAGTAAGCTGATGTGCCTGTAACTGGATCACCATCTCTCTGAAGGCTAATAAACAAAACCAACCAAAACAAACTATGGATGACAGGGGAGGCTGGAACTTGTTGCCACTCCTCAACTTCCTCCCCAGAAATCTATTGTGCTCAGAGCTGTAAGAACAGAAGAAAGTTCAAAAACAGGGCGAGGCCAGTGGTCATCTGGCCCCGTTTGGTATTTAGTAGTTAATTAATCTTAAGGATCCCCTGCAGTCATTTTCTGATGAAAGCCCAAGCAATCAGTTTCAACCACTTAGCTGGGTATTGTTGTACTGTCCAGTGTTCTTACTGGTCAGTTCTTGTTAGCACATGTGCTCTGATACGCTTAGTTATCTCTCTTCCTGTCACCTTGCATTCCTGCAAAGCTGTGAGAGCTGTATCTCCACAGCTGACTCACAGATCGCCTGTGCACCCTCCTCCCTGACGCCTCCACAATCCCTAACTGTGTCGACTTGATGGCTTTTCATGGTTCTGCGTGATGAGCTGTGGAGATGAGGGCTGAAATTAATGTAAAACACTTTGATTCTTTTTCGATTCTATAAGCAAGTCTCATACATGCTGGTGGTTAATTGGCTTCTGGGAAAATTGGCTCTGTGTGTGTGTTTGTGTCTGTGTGTGCCCTGTGACAGGCTGTTATCTCATCCAGCTTATATCCTGCCTTGTGGTCATTGCTTGCTGGGATAGACCCTGGCTCCCTCCGTGACCCTGTACTGATTAAAGCAATTAGAAAATGGCTAATTTTGGCTTCCTAAATGGTTTCCTTGCTGTACTATATAAAGTACTTTTAACCTGACTTCAGATTCCACCATAATTTACACAACTTTGACTGTACTTTGTTAAACCTAGCCTCTAACCTGCATGTGTCTCGGTCATGGAAGGAATCAGTGGCACTTGGAAAAAAATCAAACACATTTGGAGAGGTTACACAGACTCCACACAAATAGTTGCCCCGAGCTGGATGTGAACCCGAGATTTGTGTGGCATTGGCACCAAAGCGCCGTTCACACAACCGTGGCACCAAACACGCACACACTTCTGGCTTCCATACTGCAAACTCCTTGGAAGAGCTGGATAATGTTATGCAGTTTAACGCTGTCAGCGCTAAATGTATGGTAATCTTTTTGCATTTTAGACTGAATCTTATGATCTTGATGCAGAAGACTTGAAGACATTCAAAGGCAAGAACCAGTCGCGCTACTCGTACCTGTGCCATGGACAGGAAAACCCCTACTTTGTTGCTGATGAAGACAAGAAAGCACTGAAGTAAGACCAGTGAAGAGGGAGAGAAGAAAAGGAACAGCATTCACTGTACTTTATTTTAAAAATCAGATACCTCATTCAAAGTCATTTGTCATGAGGACAGGGTTGATTGTGGCTCCTAAACAGCTGGAATCCATCTACCACTTCTGTTGGGCCAGAATCGATTTCTTAAAATTAAGTAAGTTAAGTAAAGTTTTTCAATTTTTTTCTGTGATCTTAAAAATTAGCTCTTTTTATGATCAATTCAAATGCCTGAGGTTCTGTCACAGACCACCCCAGCCTTCTAAAGCACTGACTTTTACTCCTGGTGCTGGAGGTCCCAGGTTTTCATTCCTCTGTAACTATTAATGACTTTTTCAGAATCAGTGGTTTAATTAGAATAATGTACCAGTTTCCAAATACCTATGAAGCCCACCAGTCCAGAACATGGAGTGAACCTAAGTGTTCGTAAGGTGGAAACAAATGAAACCAAATAATTTTTCGTCCAGTAGAGGTCACTGTTTCCAGATTAGTTTTTACTAGTTATGCACTTGAGGTGGCTGTTAGTTTTATCAGTGATCTTGTATTTTATTATAGATGGTAAATGTAGTTTTTCAATTTAAGTAGTGCTGTAGCATTTTCTCTGTGTGTTTATGCAATCACATCTGAGCTGAATTATACAATAACCACTAAATTAGTTTTTAAAACCACAGTTCAGGAAGGAATGTAAGAATATATTGACAAGGAGGAGATAATCCTGAAATTTAGTGTTTCTATCCCTTCACAAGATCCCTTGTAAAATATGTGGTTTCTGTGGATTCTAAATAAAACACTCTCCCTAAAGATTCAGTTGCTTTTAGAAATTCTACAGTTCTGTACATTTTTGTAAGGGATGTGACAATGTAACTTTGTATTTTTACTTATGTTTAATTTATGAATGCTTGCATTGTGTCTAAAACAATTCCTTTGTTTGAATAAGGGCTGGTTCCTCTGCTTAATCCACATTTTCTAGGTTACCATTTACCTAGAAACCTAGTGATTGTGAGATAATGAAGAATAAATCAAACATATATAGGTAACTTTAATGCAAGCTGGCTGCTTTTGTTATAACCCAGAGTGCCTGTTTCATTGGATTATTTAAAATGGATTTAATAACAGGAATAATTCCAAACTCCTTTTTAGAAAGGATGCTAATGATGTGCCAATCTACTTGTTTTTGTATTACTTTGAATGTATGGGAGTGTACACACACTTATGCTGTAGCCATGTATATATATAAGCCTAATGTGCTTCTTCTGGGTCTGCAGATGTACAAACAGATTCACATGTTTTCTATGTGAGAAGAGCTATGCTTGGGAAGAAGAAAACAAATGGAAATAAATTTGTAATTTAAACCTGTTCAAAGGCTGAGATGTTTTAAGTGTATAGCTGGTTCAGGCTTTTCTCCCTTATGGTCGTGTTGAAGATGTTTTCTCACAGTATCTTTCCATTGGGCCAGATCAATGTGTTGCATCTTCAACAGAATAGTGTATTGCAGATTCTGCTTTAATTTATTGTGCTTGTTGTCATTATTATTGATGTATTTGTATATGAATGAGTCATTTGTTAAGAAGAGCCCCTTGTGTTTGTCTTATTATTATTTCAGGATGAAAGCTATTGACCTGTTTAAAAATAAAATGTGTGGAAACTCTCATTTTGATCAGATCTGGCGAGCTTCTCCACATCTTTGTTCTTTCTTGACCTGGGTTGGAAGCTTTGTGTTAGAGGTGCCTATTCACCTCAATACAGACTTGCACATATTCTTGCACATATTCTGAATACATATGATTATGCTGAAAAAATACTGTATTTGTTTCTGAAAAGTGAGAACTGTTACCTATCAGGTTTTATTCTGTTCTGTAGCGGTACTGCCAAAGACACGGGTCCCCAATCCTGCTTCTGGAGGGCCAGTGTATCTATAGGGTTTTGGTCCAGATGGGCTTTTGAAGACCTGACTTAGTTCATTATTAGCTTAAATGGACCAGTTTAAGAACTTGTCTTAGCTCTTGGTGCTGTGAATAAATCTAGAAAATGTGCAGACACTCTGGAATGGGGGATGACCATTACACTGTAGTCTGTACTATAATGTCCCAGTTTGTGTATAATGCAATACTGTCCCAGAATCTACACCTGACACAAAGTTCCTTTCCTTGGCCCACTTCTGCAGATATATGTAAACATCATTCTTGAAGTTCATCAAAAGAATCCTTGGTCATTAACCAGGTTACAGAGGCCATTTCTAGCTGTATCGGTTATTATGAGGATATCGTTATGCCACGTAAAAGGGTGAAAATATGGTAATAACAAACTGGGGGTGATGAGAGAAGTTGAGGAACTGCTAAATGAGAAAGAGAGAGTACTCACATGTGGCAATAAAGATTCTAGGATGAACACTCAAACGCATAAAAAAATCCCAACAGTGTAAGGCAGAGAATAAAGATCAAGTTGAATAGTCAGTCCTGGACAATGACATCGGGAAGGTCTGCAAGGGCAATTCAAGGGCATGAGTAGTGAGACTTAATTTCAGCTGACCTGCCACTTGAGGTCATTTTGCCCTCTATTGTATGTAAATAGATTCAACTGTGGTCCTGTAATTGATTAATTAAATAATTGGAGAATGAAATTAGAGTCACATTCTCACATGGGTTTTAATTTGGTATGTAAAGGGATTCATTGAGGAGGTGGTATCTGGTTGTTTAAAATAGGCCTTGGTTGTATGTAGAAGATAGTTGTTATATATTGCTGACGTAAAGGGCTTGGTTTTCTGTTGTGATTACCCATTAAAGAGGTAGGTCTGTCACCCATTATTTAGCTGTTTGTGTCAACTACATGTTCCTATGAAAACAGCTGCATGGAAGTCCAACAATGGAGATCCTACTAGGTTAATTCTTATTTCACAGAACTCATGGTATAAAGTTAATTCTTGCAGATCATTTTGTTGTATTTTTAATCCAAAATGTGTTAAGTGCTTTGTCGCTAATCTATGAAATTTCCTCTTTCCTGGTCTTATTGAAATTTTTGCAGGTGTGCCAAAGCACAAAGTACGAGCCTGTTGGATTCTGTGAAGTACAATGAAAGATAGTTGTGCTTGTTTTATTATGTGCTAAAGTCTGGTGGCATCAAGGTTGTTACTAACTGAATTGCAACATCCTGGTCTTCTGCAATCAAAGAACTGTAAAGTGCAAATAACAAAACTCTTATTTAAACATTAAACTCCTTTCCAGAAGTGTTATAGACAGGCTTCTATCCTTGGAATCCAGGCACATTCCCACATGGAGCTGTGTTCCATGCAGAGCAGTCTGGACATACGTAAACTGGTTTGTTACAACCCCCTTCATCCATTTAATGGGAGCTCCATTACTTAAATGCTGTTCTGCCACTGATCTGGTGCTCTTTTGGTGAGATGCTTTCAAACCAAGGTAGTGTGCTTGGCAATACTAGTGTGCTTCACCAAAGGATACTCTCCTTGAATCTGCCTGAAAAGAGGCTGTCCTGAACTTGTTCTGGCGGTCTCTAATGCATCTGCTCAGCACCAGACCCCTGGCAGAGGTCCCCACAAGATTTCCCCACGGCAGCTCAGCACCCCTGTCTGCATCTGCCCTGACAACTGAGCTCATCTCCAGTCATGTCAGATCTCAGTTGCCCCCTTACATCCTGCATTTCTGCTGGTCTTCATTCCACTTCAGCAGTCTCTGCCAGCCTCCAGCCTTCTCTGAGCTCTCAGTGGGCTATTGCACTGGGTTCTCCAACCTCTTGGAAGGAAGTGCCAGTCTCCCATCAGCTAGCTGCAGCCTAATACATGGGGAGTGGGATTTGTGGCTGAGTTGGGTTTCCTCCTTCTGCTGCAGCCTTTGGCCCAGAATGTTGGCCTTGATGGAGCAGGTGTGGCAGGTAGACCAATGGGGCTCCCCCAGTCATTCATGTTAACACCTTACTTGAGGGTGACCTTGAATGGGTCTCGGTACCATTTCCTTCAGGTGAGTGATGGCCAGCGGAGAAATGCGAGAAGAGAACCTGAGGAGGTAAGCAGTTCTGGGATATTTGAATGCATTTCAAAGCTGGTGGATATTGCACAATGGAAGACACCCTCATTGGTCCACTGGTCCTTTCCTGTAATCCCTAAGACTTGATGCAATCACTGCTGATTGCATCTTAAACATCTTAATGTGGCATTGGTAGAAGTCCAGTTTTCACTGTAGTGGAGGGGAATGAACAGCACAGTTGTCTTGTATCCTGGATCCTGCAGGACTTTCAGGTACTTGTCATAATTTGAAGAAAGAAACAGAGACACAGTGCTGGACTTCATAATCAAAACTAAGAAGGAGCTATTAAAATTACAAGGATGGGAGGGGTGGCTGCAGAAATCGGTGATATTACAGAGCTTTCCCATTTTCCAGTGCTCTGCTGGGGGAAGGCTGATGGATGATTTTCATCTATATTCAAGGACAACCTACGTCTTCTAGGTAGTGCTGAAAAGGTCTAGCACTTTTTGAACCAATGCAAAGTGCTCTATCATGCATCCATCATCCACAAACAAAACACGTCCTTGGAGGCAATTTGTTTTTAGAGCAAGAAAGACTGAAGAGCTTCCCTTCCACTATGTTAAGTGCAGAGGACCCAAGTACAGGTCTTAAGACTAAACAAGAATGAATGTCTTGTCTGCAAAGCTGTAACTGAAACTATCAGTATCCTCTATAATATTTTCTCAACTGAGTATTTGTTGCACTTTGTTCTCCACATTACGAATACAATAATTAGGTAACATCTCATCTACCTGGCTAGGTCTTTCTCCTTTAGAGAATGTGTGATGCAACAGGGAGCATGTGTTACTGTGAAAGCTACTACCTCAATAGGACAGGTTTTGTGTGAAAGCATTCAAACATCTCCAGATCTTTCAGGCTTAACTCTAGAGGATAATGACTTCATTCCCAGGGCATGTGTAGTACACTGTTCAGAGTTAGATTTGTGCAGCCTTGTCCTTATGTGCTTGAAAATATAAGTGCTTTAAAGATCTATTATCTGTTAAATAGAATATTGGTATTGCCTTATGTTCAAGTGTCTTGATTCTACCTTAAATCCAACATTTGTCCATGCAATGTTCCCCTACAACTCAAAATTATTTTATACAACTTGCCACTGGTTTTCATTTTGGAGAAATTGCCCATACTCTTATACATACCCACTGGACAGTATGACTACCTGGAAATGAGGAACTCTTATGGGGTATACTGCAAGTATCTTGCAGAATTGCATTATTGTTTAAAGTGAAATGTTTAATGCTGTGCTTGTAACTTCCCATGTGTACAACAAAGACAGACAGTAACCACATTTTGCTGATATCATCAACATTTTAACCTGGCAAAGTTAATCTTATATCCCAGCTTGTGAAGGAGAACCCATAAAAGTCATACGTGTCTGTTAATTTAAATCCCCACACACCTGGGGAGGTGTAAATGTCCTTGCTCCGCAGGGACGATTGCCACACAGGGTTCGCCCCAGCTCCGGGAGAGCAGGTACTTGGAGCAGTTTTAGGGATGCCACAATGCTTGAAGTGAAGCATTAGAATTAACACTTTCTCAAAAAGAGGAGAGAAATAAAACGGGTAACAACATTCCAGGATGATGAGAGGAATCCTCCTATCCATCGTGTTTGGTCAGTGCCTGCGATTTGCACAAGGTAGGCCTCGACACATTGAGCTGATGTTCCACATGGGATGTGTTCCTTAGTGGTATTTTTAGCACTTTTTATTTTCAAACTAATTGGGGTTGCGTGTTAGATTTGTACTAGAAATAGACATCTGTACTCTTGTATATTATAATGTATTTTAAATTACTTACGATTCACATTTGGTGATCCTATGTAAAGTACTGAAACACTATGAAAAATGAGAATTAAATGCGATTGTGTAATTAGATGTGCGGAGTCAGGAGGATACAGGCTTGAAAAGTTTTAATCAAGACCGAGTACAGTTCTGGGGGGAGGAGATGGTATTTTACAAACTTTATTTTTTGCAGCCTTAATAGCCTCTCGGCAAGAAATGCTCCAGAAAAAAGAAAATAACATTGGCATTTGGCTACAATCGAAAGGATTGTTAACTTTGTTTATTAAAAACTTTACATTTTCATTGCATTCTTGCTTTTTACATAAGTGCTACGTCTCTGTGTGAATCAATCCAATATCAACACCTTTTTTAATTTAATAGAGCTTAAAGGAATGGTGTTTTATTATGGGTTTTAGAACTTGGTTGTTCAATTCATTCAGGACACTTAAAGAGTCTGGTTTGTTTTCAGTGAAGCTTATACACAATTTTTTTATGCATTAGATCATTTCATTTTTCTGCTCCATTCAGAGTTTTATACACCTAACAACACCATATAAGCTTCCAATGTAGTTTAGTACCATCTTAATGAAGGTTAGTATTAAGCAGGGTGGGTTAGTTATTTAGAAGACACACCTGTAATGTTATTAAACAGTGGAGGAAACATACAGTGCTGCATCTACATCCACAGCCAGTGAGGCTGAGAATCGGAGTACAGTATACCTGTTGATAATGAGATCGTAAAAATGAGATGTGGGAGCTTTCAGAGCGGCGCAATTGGTGAAGGTGTTAACTGCGTGGAGACTGACCTCGGGGACTGTGGGTTTGAGCCTGGGTCATGGCACCAGCTCTCCACCACAAGGCTCGCCAGGGATGTCTTGGGGACACGGTGTTCCCTGCTGCCTGCTGGCACTTGTAGGCATGTGACACCGTTGGCGGGGGGTGCCTTTCTCCTCTAGTTGGCTCTGAGCATAGTTGTGCTGTCTTGATGTGTTAAAAGGGGAGGCTCAAGGGTGGGCTGGATGGTGTGGTAATGCTGCTCTGCATGTGTCCCTTTCAGCTGCCCATTCCTGTGCTTCAGACCAGTTCACCTGTGTGCAGGGCAAAGAATGCATCTCCATACTGTTCGTGTGTGACGGCGAGGAGGACTGTCCAGACGGCTCGGATGAGCAGAGAACTTGCAGTGCGTATCGGTCCGAGTCCCAGCTTTCGAAGCTGGTCAGTGTGGACACACAAAGCAGGAGTACTCAACCTCTCGCGAAACTAATGTTTCAGCTGAAGTGCTACCGTTATCAGCATTAAAATTGCTTGTCATATGCTGATCACTCTCACAATGCCATAAGGGTGGTTGGCAGACTATGTTGACTTTTGTTGATTGGTTGAGTCAATGCAAATCCTAATTATTTTATCTGCTAACCCGAAGGAAGACAATCCAGGTTTGTTCTTGGCTGCCACTTGACTCTACAGAGCTATATCTGTGAAGTTATAAAGAACAAAACGGGGGTTTTGCACGTCCACAAGTCAGGCAGGACTTCAGCTGAATTTCTCATTCAAAAGCCAGCGTCTTCTGAACGATCCACTCTTGATCACAGAAGGAGGTTAGGATTTTAACACTAGTGCCAGAGTGTCACCTACCGGTCTACCAGCAGATATTTGCAACATGTCCTCCTTTTGTGTAATCATATTAAAGACTCCTCCACAGCTGATTTAATTCCTGAAATATTTTCAGTTTTGCAAGCTTTTACAGATAGTGACTCCTTAAGCAGTAGTTTCCCAGTAGCAAAAACTGCTTTGATGCGGAGACTGATAAGCGAAACTGCATACTGGCAATTGCAAAGCACTGAGTGTCGCCACCTCAGTTATCAGACTTCTTAAGATAAGAGAAACTACAGTGCTTTGTGTGGAGTAGATAAAGTAAATAGCTTCCCTTTTTAGCCCATATCTTACACTTGTTGCATGCTAGATATTATACCTGCTGATGCAGGCAGGATGAATAGTTACTGGCACTAGAGAAAGATGCTGATCAGGCCAAGCTGTAATCATAACACCAGCGCACAGTAATGTAATATTAATTTACCCAAGAGCAGCCCTGTGCCCCCAAGCTCTTAAAGGGAAACTACAGTTACACGTTTCCAGAATGGTTTATTAAATCTTGGTAGCAAAATAAATCAAGTGATGGTATCACAAAATTTTACAACATTTTGAATTAAGCATAAAATTATGAATTTTGAAGCTACCCTTCCCACTCCCTAGTCACTGTAATGGGTAATGTAATTAGATGTATAGGTTGGTTCCAAGATGATCTGCTCCCTAAAAAAAACTGTCTCAAAGTCTAGAGCAATATTTCTATTGGATTAAAAAAAGACGTATTCACAAGCCTGCATGTTCACAATGTAGTAAGGCTGCTTCACCTAACTGGCTGAGAATCATAGAACAGTCCATCTATTTTGTGATATAAAAACCTCCAAATGCACACAATTCCTGTTGAGTAAGATTCTCCATCCACAGATGGCCAGGAGTGTGCTCCCAGCCAGTTCACATGCCAGGAGGGCCAGTGTATCCCGGGAAACTTCCGCTGCGACAGAGTCCAGGACTGTGTGGATGGTTCGGATGAACACAACTGCAGTAAGTGATGCTGTTGTGGTACTGATGGGACTGTCTTTTCAGCTTGAGTTATTGGCTTGTTATTTCTGCTGGGGATTAAGGCTTTAAAGCAATTTTTTAGTTGGGGAAAAAAAAGAATCTGGGTACATGGACATTACATTTCACTCACATGGAATAATTGCTACCATGCTTCTGGAATGAGGTTTTCACTAATTTAAGAGCTGTCAACACTCTATTGAGAAATAATGAATGCGGTATATATGTATATGTTTATGTTTATAGAGTTGCAGGTCTAGGTCTTTTACCCTTGTCCATTAAATTAATCACTTTTAAAACAGGTTTTCACTATGTTTCATAATTTTTATTTGCAGTGCGACTCTTTAATCCTTACCAACAATGAAGGAGGTTGTAAGAAATTAAAAGCATTCTATTAAATCAGCTGACTCATGTAGTTAGTCTCTCAATGAGGGCAATAGGTATTCTGATGCTCAGGGCTGACTGCGTCATTACCAGAGCCCTTAAACAGAAACTCAGGTGGTGGAACATCTCTAGTATGTTGAATCACGAGTCTTGTCTTGTCATTGAGCAAGCTTTACAACAGTTATTCCTTCATTTAAAATGTTTTATAATAAAAGAATGTCATTTAAAAAAATGTGAGTATCAAAGGGCAGTCTGTAAAGACAGACAATCATTTTAATTACAGCTATTTGATTGTAAATAGTTGAGCTATTTTGCACTGTAGTGCAAAATCTTTTCAGATTCATTGTTTTTATTGCATTCTTAAGTCTACTTTTTATAGATTTTTTCTGTGCTACAGTTCCTACCTAGTGTGGGTGTGCCGTGACACCATATCTTTAAAATATGCAGGTCCAGGCCACAGAACCATCAAACACATAGCTCCAAGGTTCAGAAAAATACCCTTGCCTTTTATTTCACAGTGCAGAGAAAACCACAAATGCATCACAACCAAACACCGAAACAAAATCCAAAGCTCTTCTTTGAGTTCCTGCCTAAACCTCTTTTCAAAGTCCCTAACTCTCCCAGCAAAGCAGCTAAACGGTTTACTGGCCTCAAACAAGCATTACTGATGTTTCCCATGAGACTCTTCCCTCATTGCCTTGTCTGCCTGGCCCTGCTGTCCAAAACTCTGGGCAGTCTTCATCCAGCAGCCCTCCTCCTACTGGCCTCCCCCAGCCTGCCAGCTCTCACCTCAGTCTCGCTGCTCCCTCAGCTCTGCGGAAACTCCCACAGATACCCCAAGTCATGCCCTGTCAGCTCGCTGCAGTGTGACGCAAAGACGTTAGGTGTAAAAGCTAGTCTGGTCGGGTGCTCTATTTATTTGTCTGTCACCAGATCTTGGTTGTCTGGGGTCCAAAATGGTCTTTTGAACTTGACTCATGCTTTCCGGAAAGTTCACTCTCACACTCTGTGCTTTTGTTCCTCCCAGACTACCCGAGCTGCTCTCAGCTGACCTGTGCTAATGGAGCTTGTTACGACCACTCCCAGCACTGCAATGGCATCCAGAACTGCAGAGATGGCTCTGACGAAGCCAACTGCAGTAAGTCGAAAATACTTCAGGAAATGGTTTACTGTTTCTGTCACTTGGTCAGGACATCAACAGCAGTGTTGGTATCAGGCACTTGAACCTGTAACGTTCGTCCATATTACCCAAAATATACATGTCCATTTTGTGTCTGATAGGTTAGGCCAATGCCCTAACTGTAAAACGTGACATCCAAACACATCTGGCAATAACACTACTGTCTATAACACACAGCTGTCTAGATCTCCCCTGTCTACAACATTATTATTGTCTACAACACATTTTTCTACTATTTCACAGCCCAGCACTGCCCAATGCACCAGTATCAGTGCAACAATGGCTTCTGTGTCCCCTTGTCTTTTGTCTGTGACCACTGGGATGACTGCGGTGACGACAGCGATGAGCATGGCTGTGGTGAGTGGTGAGGCCACAGCTCGACCTAGTCAAGGAGATTGCAGGGAAATGTCAGTGGAATTTAGGTCATCTAACATGGGAACTGAGGGATTAGAATTCATGAAAGCCCTGGGAGATTTGCAATGAGAAATTATTACTCTGTCTGTCTTGATCTCAGAGTATGGGAGCTGCAGTGGCAGCGAGTTCACCTGCGCCGGCGGGCGCTGCATTGCCCACACCTGGGTGTGCGACGGGTTCAACGACTGTGGGGACTACAGCGACGAGAAGGGATGTGGTGAGCACGGGCAGGGGGCGCGAAGCTGCACATGCCTGAGAGAGGGTCCCTCCCTTTCTCCCCCCTTTCTCAGATACTGACCTGCCATGGCTCCAGAAGGAAATGTTGCTGCTCATCTCAGACTGTTTTAACATGAATAAAAATTGTACTCCTCCTGGATGAGGTGCAAAGCAGACGTTGGATAGTAAAAAAGAGGCTATGTACAGTATGTGCATCTGAAGCAGATGATCAACTGGTTACTATTTGTGTCTTTTAGGGATGTATACTGTATCTGCTTGACACTTTGCTTCTATTTATAACTTGAGAAGAGACAGGAACATAAAATATGCAGTTAAACACTTTTTTGCCATTTTTTTCAGATGACCATTAAAATAAAAAATACAAGTTTATACTTCGGTGATGTTAAGCAGGCAAGCAAGATGTGATGTTGTCTTTTCAATTCATTAAAAATAATGCTTTTTGGATATTTCTATGCATCATTACCAGGCCATACCACAGACATGTGCTAGGAGTCTTATGGTCCTGTCTGTTTCAGATACTGGCTCTCGGGATTGCTATCCTGGGGAGTGGCCCTGCCCCGGATCTCTGTTCTGTGTCCCAGTCAGCAAGGTGTGTGATGGCCATGTTGACTGCCCAGGTGGAACTGATGAGACCAACACCACAGCACACCTGACATGTGGTGAGCCCAGACTCCCTTCCACAGCAAGCAAAGACTTTTATAAAACCATCCATCTGTGCATGTAAAGGAAAGAACATTTAGAATTTTTATTTATTATTAAATGAACAAGTATTGTTACTTTCATATGCACATTGGATATGGTCAGTTTTATTGTGTTTCTAACTTCTGTTGTGTATTGACAACAAGTAATTTACTTGTCTCTTGTGTGTCTCACCTGGCTCACCTCTGGTTTGCAATGCTTAAAGCATACCTGAACATCATCAAGACGTTCAAGAGGTTCATGCCCTCATGGTGTAGCATCAGTCAATGTGTCTGTCTGGATAATGCAGCCTGGTCTATGTGCTGTATCACTTCAGGTTTGTCTTAAGGCTTAAGGCTGTTAAACAGTGGAGCATTCTCTAGAAAATTAAACTGTCCAGTTACACTCCTCAAATGACCCCCATCTGTTTTCTGTTGCTCCTTTCCCTCTCTTGCAATCAATACCTCAAAAACCTGCAAAGTGAGGAAGACATGTCCACCAAGGAGAGTTTTGCTTCATGTGTGCTAGACAAAAAGCTGGAAGAAAGGAGCCAGATTAAGAACAAGCGTGTCTTTCAGGGCTGGAGAGTTGCTCCTTGCTGAGCTGTGAGTTTCGCTGCCACCCCTCGCCTCAGGGGGGAGCCTGCTATTGTCCTGATGGCTTTATCGTAGCCAACGACAGCCGGACGTGTGTCGGTAAGCCTCTTGGTCTCAAGCTCTCAGCTGTAATAGGAGGAAAAATCACCCACAACCATCTAAAATTACTGTGCAGGCTGGGTGGAGCAGTGATATTCCTGGTTCAGGTCCGTCACTCTCGCAGGTGTCTGTCTGAAGGAGTGCTGATTCTACTGTCTTGCACGTGAGATGAAGAACGAATCACTTAGTGCTCACTCTTAGTGCAGCCTTAAATTAATCCAATAGAAACGTTTTAAACATTTGTTATAATAATGCTTCCTTAATCTCTTTAGATGGGGGTTTCTGACAAATGACTGATCACTAATAAAACGTCACAAAGCTTTTTCGTGCTTAAGAGCCACAGCATCTTCTGGATTTAATTTTACTTGAACATGTAATGACTTAAGAACTCCTGTTCTATAGGAGGTATTAACTCAAGAATTAAAGACTTGGAAATAAAACCTGATTAATCCAGCGAAGTCAACAATTGGCTCACTTAAAGCATCATTAAATCACGTCTGCCTTTTCTAGTTAAATAAATGATGATGCCAAAATATATTTGAAGCCCTTCCAATCATTGATGAAACGTGGTTGGCAGCTGAACTTTTGGGATTTTGCAATGTTCTGAATGTCTTTTTCCTAGCTTGATATTTGTGGTAACAAAAGAGGCTGTTCAAGCTGTGTTCAGGGTATAAAAAGTAGCTAGAAATTTCTGAGCTTTAGAGTTGAGGGAAGAAGAGAAAAATGGTGTCTCCCTGCTCAGCTGTCCAGAAGGCCTCTCGTAATAAATGTATTTAAAAAATGCACTCAGCTGCGGTGAGACCTCTTGCATCCCTGCAATGCCATCTAGAATCCGCCAGAACCGAGCACCTCTGGGCTCATGAGTAATCAGCCTGCATGCATAGTCTTTTCTGTACAGATCACAGAAGTTCTCTGACCTGAATTCTGAAAACAATTTCAGTTCACAAAGCAGACAAGGGTCGATACCTATGATTGGGTGAAAGCTGGCAGGTCTTACATATAGAAAATAAGAAAATGGGAAAGTTTCTACATGACCATGCAAGCCATTTAGCTTGTTTCATTCCAGACTTTATTGGATCCATGGATCTTTTCCTGCCATTTCTTTAAGACTCCCACAGGCTTTTGTGCAAATTTTCCATCTGTGTCCATAGTTTCATGTTTCACTTATACTCCAGTTATAATGCTGTGCTCCTACTGCACCCACAGACTATGATGACTGTAACATCTGGGGGATGTGTGACCAGTTCTGTGAGGATCGATCTGGCACACATGTCTGTAGCTGCGCCAGTGGGTACTTTCTAGAACAGGGACGTCACTGCAAAGCCAATAACTCAGGTGAGGAACAACAGGCAATGTCTTTATTTCCTTGCCCCAGTCATATTGAAACAAATGGTTAATGGAGCTTTGTGTAATATCGGTTATAACAAGTACTTCATTAGATGTTAATCTGCAAGAAAGGTATTATTAAATTAAAACCTGCATTGCATCTCTTGGTCAGTTAAGTTGTGCACTTTTTAGGGGAGATTTTGGGGTGCAGTAATGTGTGTACTTGATTACACTGTCCTTTGTCTAACTGTGAAAAACTGTTAATAACAATCAGGTTTATGGTAGATCTTTTAATTAGAATGTCTACTGCATGAAAACACACCTGGGAGAGCAGGTAGGTATCTTTGAAATTGATTTGATAAATGAGCCTGAACACTGCTGCTCTCTGTGCCTGCCTGCAGCTGGCCTCCCCCAACTCATTTTCTCTAATGGCCGAGACGTGATGATTGGGGACGTTCATGGCAGGAACATGCGGGTTCTGGTCCATTCGCAGGGCAAAGGGCGGGCTGTGGGAGTCGATTACAGCTGGGTGAGCCAGCGCCTCTTCTGGACAGATAAAACCAGCAAGAAGGTTTGTATTGATGTATATCTAATGGGTTTAACCTGCTATTCATGCTCCTCTGCTGAGTGATTCCTGCCTTACAGGGAAAGCATCTGGTTTCTGAAAACTAAACCTTCAGACTTCTCTGTGTCTGGCAGCAAAGATGTCCATTTGCTGCAGCTGTCTGTAATTGTTGTAATTGTAATTTTTTGTGGCAAACATTTTTACAGTAAAAGGCTGGAGCTTATTCTTATTCTTGTGCTGTGATCTAGTGAGATTCTAGTGCTCTTTTTACTCCCTTCCAGAAGATGAAGACTGTTTCATTCCTGTTGTCCCCAACTTGGAACTAATCTCGGACAAATCCCATGAAAATGTCATTGGGCCCTGATGCCTCAAAACACTTTCTTTACCTCTCTTTTCTGGGGGAGTTTAAATGTGATGTATACCAGAAATATAAATGCCTGTTCATGTCCAAAACCCAGTGCATACAACAAGACCAAGAACCACGTAAACATTTATCTTTAAAAGAAGTCCGGAACTTAAACATGGAAAGAAAATATACTTTAACAACAGTGACACCTAGGGAAGACTGCTGTTTTTCCAGAACTCTGCTTCTTGCTACATCATGCCTTGATCTAGTCCACTTGTTTCCCCAGGTGTACTCCATAAAATATGATGGGACAGATATGACAGAGGTCCTCTCGATGTCCATAGACAGTCCAGAGAACATCGCTGTGGACTGGATCAACTTCAAACTGTATGTGGTTGAGAGCGCAGTCGACAGGGTTGACCTTTGTGACTACAATGGTGGAAACAGGGTCACCCTGATAGCAGAGAACCTCCAGAACCCTCATGGACTGGCTCTGGATCCCACAGTGGGGTACGTTACCGGTCTCAGTCCTTGACTATGTGTGTGCGCTTCACCAGTGAGGGCTTTGGTTCAGTAGAAACATTACCTCCACTTTTTTTTTAAACTGAATGACGTCTAAAGATTTTTTATTAATATGACCATTTCACAAGCTTGTTATATTTTAATAATTTAGGGCAAAATGTACCAAATTAGAATCTGAATTATTGCCGAACATTAAAAATTCATACTTCATTTAAAGCATAAAGTCAATTTTTAAAAAATACACTCTGACGGAAACAGAATAGGATCCGATTCAATTCAAATATGGTAATCCAGAAATATCTGATCTTTCAGGTGTGCCCATAGGTAGAAATTACAGGTGACATGGGTAGCCAAGCCACAAAGTGTAAGCCAGTCAGACTCATGACTTCAGGCACTGCTGATGTACCTTGAGTAAGGTAGTTGACGTTGGCTACCCCAGTCCACCCAACTGTATGGGTCCAATCTGGCAAAGGGAATCTTGTGCTCTCTAATTCGCTTAATGCTACAGGACCTAGGATGAGGTCTATCCTGATGACCTGCTGTGGCAGTGATATGGACATTACCATCCTTAATGGAGCAAAGATGAGTTTAATGTTATAAGCTCTTATAGAAACATCTCGCTGGGTCTTGCTTGTGCGGTCTGTTGGTCAGCTCTTGTAATCTTTCTATTGAATGAGCACACAACCATCCTCCTCAAACAGATGAACTGGGATTCATATAGCGTCTTTCATTGGTCCATCACAAACATTCTATGATATTTTCTTTGCATCATCAGAAAGACTTTCTTGTCTGCAAGCAATACTTCTTTATTCATGCTGTATGATGATCCCAAATATCAGATTTTGCTGAGGTCAGGGATACCAACTTTTGAAGAGAGAATTTTCTATCCATTTCTTGGCTTTATTTCATGTTTGGAACGGGCATATAAAAGCCATTGCTCACATACTGTACACTGAATATTTTTTAAAGATCCAGTTATCAGAGAAACTTTATAAATTATTAGGTGATCGGTCTTCATTCCACCTGCCCTGGTGAGGATCGTGCCTTCCAAAGTATTAGGTGTCTTATTTTAGTTCTTTTGTTTTTGTTCCATTCTAAAGGCATGTCAAATGTGCAAATGCATGTCTCCAGCTGTGAGCACGTCAACTTTGCTTGTGCAGCTCTGTGCAGTTTTACCCATCAATCCTTCACTTGCAGAATTCAGGAACAGAAGAAAGAGCTGTTCTTTATAAGCTGGAGATCTGATTCAATCACTTTTTGTCAGTTTACCCAGAAGGGTATGAAAGGTTAAAACAGTTTTTGTGAAACCACAGTGTGTTATGATGCTGTATTTTAGTCTGTTTATTTTTCCACTAGTTTTTGTGCTTTATAGACATTTAATAAAACAGGAATAAGCATTTTCAAACTGCTGTATTTCTTGCCTCCTAATCATGTCAGCAAGGGCAAAGTAGATGAATACAGCTGGTGGTACCCCTGCGATGGAGTACTCTCCCATCTGGGGAGAGTCACATGCTCTCAGTCTACTTGCTGTTACCGAAACCAGAAAAAAACTCTGACGTGAAGACTGTTAAGATTAGGAATAGACTACTTATGGCAGGTGGAAGGCAAATCGGTGCTTTTGCGTTCTTCCACAGGTACATGTTCTTCACAGACAAGAGCAATTTTAACAATGAGCCCAAGTTGGAGAGAGCCTTCATGGATGGCAGTAACAGGCTGGATCTAGTGAAGTCAAAGCTGGGATCACCATCAGGAATATCGCTGGACATCCTCACCAAGAGAGTATACTGGACAGACAGCCACTATGACTACATTGAAACAGTTGACTACAATGGCTTAGACAGGTATGATGGGACAAGGGCATCTTTTAAGGTGAAAAGCTCAATGTACATAGAATTAATTTGATGATACATAATGTTTTGATTTTTTTCCTCTTCTCTTAGGAAATCCATTCTGAGTGGGGGTGCAGATGTGCCCCATCCCTATGGAGTGGCACTGTTCGAGAACCACGTCTTCTTCACCGACTGGACCAAGATGGGGGTGATTCAGGCGAACAGGTTTAATGGGAGCAATCCCAAGCTGCTGTATCGCACCACAGACCAGCCCAACCACTTGGTCATCTCTCACTCCGTCCTGCAGCCTTTCGGTAATGAAAATTGAGACACTTAGGTTTGAAATATGCTGATAAAGCCCGAGAACATACAGTATGTGACAGAAACATACAGTGGATGACAGAACATTCCTTCCCTATGGGGCTCACATGAGTGAATGGGCAAGTTTGAGTGAACCTGGCAGTGGTCTGGACACAGATGTGCAGAAGTCTTGCTTCTCAGCCTAGATCAGACACTACATGTCTGTGACTGTGTGTGTCAATAATTCTTGACAAATCACAAAGTGGGTGAGAAGCATTTTTGCTTGTACCCCATCTGTTCATACACTGGAATGTAATGAACAACAATGACCCTAACCTTCTTTTCCCTTTGACATCCATTCAGTTATTAATCCATGTGGGCGCCACAATGGAGGCTGCCAGCAGATCTGCGTGCTGAGCCACAGGACTGACAATGATGGCCTGGGCTTTCGCTGCAAGTGTAGGATGGGCTATGACCTGCAGCCTGACAGGCGTACCTGTTTCAGTACGTATCCCTTCAGCTGCCCAAAGTGAGAGCGAATATCCAGGGGCTCATATTCTCTTAGCATTGACCATGTGTTTTATACCTGTATGATAGCCAAAATAACAGTCACAAAAACAGTTTCACTCCTCAAATTTTAAAATTCCTTGTAACCAGTCACCTGTGCTATTTTGGTCAACTATTTTGGTCATAGATTGGACATGCCTGATACATCTCTTTAGTTAAAAGTACTTTTTCTCAAGACATTTAAAACAAAAATTTTGCTCCCAAATGTGTTTGGACCAGTCGGTTTTTAACACTTCAACAGGGCTGGAGTTGGGGAAACTGGTCTGTAGAGTTTGCATGTTCCTCCTGTATTTGTCTCCAAGCACTATTGTCTTCCAAAGAAATTCTGGCCATGGAATCTATAATAGGTTTGTGTATTCCCTGCAATAGACTGGTGTTCCAGCCATTGTGGAGAATAACCTTCTCCCTGTATTACACACTTAGGAAGATAATTGAATGTTGAACTGAATTTGAGGGTTTTCAAGTAAAGGGAAAAGGAGAAAAGTACCTCTTCTTGGTGGAAATTATCTCCTTATTTGAAACAGAGGATTACAATTACATACACACTTGCTACTTCAGTTTTATCCATATTTTTACACATTATAAGCAGATACTCATCAGCCTACTACAGGTTAATTTGTTTTGGCATCCCCAGTGCCTGTGGACCTAGCATCTGTAAATAGGGCACAAAGGTCTTCACTGCTCTTTGTCTGACAGAGGTGAAGAAGTTTCTCCTGATGTCCTCTGGTGTTGCTGTCCGGGGGATCCCACTGAATGTGTCCACGCAAGAGGACATTATTCTACCCCTGACTGCCAGTCCTTCCTTCTTCACTGGCGTGGATTATGATGGCAAAGAGGAGACCATCTACTTTGCTGACAGAATGCGGGGAGTTGTGTATCAGGCTGGGGTCAATGGCACAGGTAGGGCTCATGTAGTGACGATCTGCCACAGGTCCAGTGTTGCCAATCATTTGTTTCTCAGTGTCTCAAGTAGAGTCCAATTAGCTCTCAATAAAATAATCTGCAGCTCAGATTTGTTTTCAAATCATACAGTATATAGATTCGACTGCATCCTGAGACAAGTTCTTGATCTGAAAGATCTTTAGGGAAGGATGTGTTGCCTAATCTTTGATGCAGTTTGAGATTAATGAGTTGAATTACAAAATGTGCTGAGCAGCCTGCCAATGACCCATCAATATGGAAAAAATGTAAAATCTGGAATATCTTTTTTTATGTAACTTTCCTTCCAATTGTGTTTGGACCACTTAGTCTTTAAATGTTCACTAATTAAATTACACCAAAAGCTTTTTGCATCAGTGTGAAATATAATCCTGATTTTTCTTGCACTCCACCTATAGCTGTGGTAGTGTTAATATTAATGGCAAAATCAATAATAAAACTAAATTGTCATTAGGGAGTTGTGCAACACACACAAATGCTTAACGCTGGTGTATATTCAGGTATGCAGGTTCTGAATGGCCATCGTACAGGTTTTATTGAGTGCCTGGCCTTCGACTGGACCTCCAAGATTCTGTACTGGACATCCACTTCCTTTCGGCTGATTGCCGCCTACAGAGTGACGGACAAGTCGCGTCGAGACATTGTCCAGGATCTTCGAAATCCCCGTGCGATTGTGGTGCATCCAAGGGCAGGGTGAGGATGTTGTTGTTATTTAGAGATCTCAGCAGCTCACAGAAATCCACGAGTATGCAAAGAGAGCCGCTGCCTGCTTCTTCCTGTGCCCAGACTACACTTCTCAGTCTTGGTCCAGGAGACACCTGTTGGGTTGTAATCAGCCAAGTTGTCAGTTACGGCATTTAATCCTTAATAACGCGATTCATTTGAACTATGTAAATGTTTTCAGGTTTAAATCCTATTGGAGATAGCCTTTTAACTCATGAGTTGAAAAAGAACCCGCAAATGTTCCAATCAAGCAGCAGCTTATTAGTTCAACTAAGGCTTTAATTAAGTAATTAAGATCATCTGGAATGGAAACCGACAGCTGTGTGTTCAACCCCAAGTGTTTGCACTGGTTTATGTTTCTAAACGCAGCTCACCATCATTTCGAGGTGTGTAAGGTCAGTTAAGTTTGTTCATTTGCTTAAGAGCATTTGAAATATTTGGCTTTGTTTAGCAAGGTTAAGACAGTAATGCTTTATTTTGTGAGGTATAAATTACAATGACACTCATGAAATTACATATTGATGTTAAGTTATACCATCTTGCTCTCAGACAACTTTTAACAGCTAATTGTATGAGATGGGAACAAAAATGTAATCTCTGGTGCTTCTCTGTCTCTTCCTTCAGCTACCTCTTCTGGTCAGACTGGTATCGGCCTGCCACCATCATGAGGGCCTGGGGTGATGGCACGAATGCTCAACCCATTGTCAACACGACTCTGGGCTGGCCTAATGGTCTGGCCATCGACTACATGTACGGGAATTGGTCTGATCCATCTGTCTAGTCTGTCAGATTTGAGGACACCCGAGTTGTGCATGTGAATTAGTTAATCCTAACCCCCTAAACAGGTGTTTAGATCAGTGTTTGTAGAATATACTGTAACTTGAAAGAGCGAAAGGGTTCTGGGTATGGAAATCCTAACTCTATAGAATACTTTAACCAGTATAAGATGAATTTACTTTTGTAGGTTTAAAGCAGATAAAATGTTACACAGAAATTATAAAACGTAGTTCTTGGAATGCCTACAGGAGGTGATATTGGCATTTTATCAGAGATCAAAAAGTACAAACCAAAAGGGCAACTCAGATATGACTCTGAACTTTCATCTGGCTGATTTTGCTTCTTGTTATTCCATTTGTCTTCTTGCTTTGTGTGTGGTATATAGTAGACGGATGTATAAATCCAAGTGATAAAATCAGATATAATACCATGATTTTATAGACCCATGTGGTTTGTGCTTTTTGATCTTAACTGTTTACACTGTACTGTGCACTTGCTTGATCTGTGAAGGTTGTAGATGTGACTTCTAGGTCGATGTTTCCTGGAACAGGGTGGACAGGATTTACTGGGTGGACGCTCTGCTCGACCGGATTGAGCACAGTGACCTGAATGGTTTGGACAGACGGACGTTCTCGAACCTGGGACAGATCACCCATCCCTACAGTCTATCTTTACACCTGGGTGAGCAATACTGAGAGAAGGAACATCTTTAATTCTGGTCCACAATTGTCAAACACATGAGTTGCAAAATTGAAGACTTTTTGTCTGAGATATTAGTTCATTTTTATTGTTAACAAGATAAGGATTTTCACTGAAACACATCAAGTATTTCTTTTCTTTAATCCACACATGGCAGTTTGAAGAAGTACACAAGGATATAATCGACCCTAAATATGATTTTGGCAACTAATGGGGGGGACTTTGTATTGACTTTGTATTGGCTGTCTTCAGTCTTCATTCTTGTTGCATGTTTTCACACTATCAAAATGAGTGAGTGAATGAATGAATGAATGTATCATTTAAAAGGTTTTTTAACACTTCAATTGCAAATCACAGAAACTGACTTTTGAATCCTGACTTCATTAAGGTAGTTAGAGAAATCAATTTTTCTATGGATTTTATGATGGGTCATTTGTGTTTAGGTGTTGAATCTTTCATATTCAACATCACACCTAAACTTATCTCAGCAAGTAACTGGTGCAATGGAGGGGTAGGCAAAGTATTTTGTAAAAACAATTTACTACTAAGAATGAGGATGTTTTATTTTTACCAGAATGGGTGACCATGTGCTCTTTGAAAAGACAGTTGTCCCAGGATCTCTGGTGAGCTTGGAGTTTTCTTCTCTCCCATGCAGATCACCTCTACGTTTCCGACTGGAGGACCAGCACTGTGTACCGTTTGCGGAAGAGGGATGGCGGCAGCCTCTTGCCCATGCGCCGGGGGGTCCCGGACCTCATGAGTGTGAAGGTGTACAGTGCTGACGTTCAGACAGGTGAGACGGACATCCTGGCGAGAAGTGTCGTTTGGATCAAGAGATGCCTGGTGTTTGACAGCAGAAACCAGTACATCTGCACTAATGGCAACCCTCCCTTTTGTGGGAATAGAGAATTCATCTCAGGAGTGATATGAATGAAAACTAAATGAATGTGATTATCAATGCTAAAATAGTTTTTAGCAAATGGTTGAAAATAAAGTTTACTTGCATTTCTTTTCAAGACCGAGAACTGTTCCTCTTGACAATCTCATAAAGATTAAGAGGAAACTTCAAACTTATCTGGCATAGCACCACAGACGAGTCAGTATTATACATTTTTTTGTCTTGAAATTCACAGCTATCAACAGCCAGTGCAATGGGGCGCTCACCCCCAATGGCCTCTGCAGTCACTTCTGCTTTCCAGTGCCATTCAGTCGCCACTGTGGCTGTCCCTATGGCATGAAACTCCAGCAGAACCATCGCGACTGCATCCCGGATGACTCTGTGGAGCCCCCCGATCAGAGCTGTGGGGCGTACTCCTTTCCCTGTGATGAGGGCCGCTGCATTCCCAACTCCTACAGATGCGACGGCATCCAAGACTGCCATGACAAGTCAGATGAGGCCAACTGCACCGCCCCCGGTGAGGGTTCCCAAGGATAGCAATGTTTAATCAGTACTATTATCCAAAGAGCATTGCATAGACAAGCAGCTGCAGACCCGCTCGTAACAAGACCCAGATCCGCGATGGAAATCAGGGAGGTTAAGTATTAAGCCTGTCCCTATCTGTCTGTGATTTATGCAGAAGTGTGTTTCAGTCAGGTGAACTAAAATTCCCAGGGAGGTAAGGATGCACTGCTAGAAGGGAAAGATTTCTCAGCCGTCTCTGATGTTACAAGTAGCTACCTGTGGAGGCTGGTGGCAGGAAAAGTGAAAAGCAAGAGAATAAGGTCTCCAGGCTCCACAAACTCCATGTTTGGATGGAGGCTTGGATATTTGATATGAGATGTTTTTGTTGCAGGAATGACGTGCTCTCCGATCGCCTTCACCTGTGGGAACCGCCACTGCATCCCCTCCGCCTGGCGCTGTGATGGCCAGGACGACTGTGGAGACGGGACGGACGAAGACCACTGCCCCACCAAGGGGCCGGTCTCCTGCCGGGATGGCTACTACAGGTGTGACAACGGCAGATGTATCCCCAGCGCCTGGCTGTGCGACACCGAGAACGACTGTGAAGACGGATCTGACGAGCGCAACTGTGGTGGGTCTGTAGAGCAGCGGCATGGCCTTGCTAGAGGAGGCAAAGCACAGCTGATCACTGTGAAAGTCATATGGTGACCTCGTCAAAATAGAGTGTACTTACTGTAAAGAACATTTGCATCTTGGAGCACAAATTCATTAGCACACCCTTGTATGTTTTACATCATAAGCACAGAGAATCATAGCAGAGCCATGGATCAGCATTGTGGTTTTCTCACACACTCTTCTGATAGTGGAAAGTCAGGAATTCAAGGAATCCTTCCCCAGTCAAACATCTTTTACATGTTAAGACTCATTTGTAATAAAGTAGGTTTAGATCTTATTCTACAGGTGTCATTTTTGCTGGGTCACAGTTTGAGTATTTTGTGAATGAGAAACAGATCTGTGCAACGTCCAGCCATCCCTATGCTCTACTAACATAAGTCATATAAGTTGACTTATGACTGAAATTTGATTGTTTTCAACAGAAGCCCTAAATTCTGTGGGCTGTGTATGAAAATCATTCTAACTCACCACATTCTCCAAGTTTCTAGCTCCATGTGTCTGTGGAAGGATTTGATGAGTCTCTTTGGGATAGCTGTTAAAATGAAGAATATTGCTTTGCATTAAGTTTGTAAGTGCAGGTGTGCATCAGATAGTGTAAACCAAGTGTGACAAGAATGTGTAATGTTATTTGAAGTGTCACAGCACCTTTTAAAAAAGGGAGAAGTGGAGGGCTGAAGTAACTATGCCTGTCTGCCATTTGTCTTGCTCCTGCCCTGGGGTGCTCCCCACCTTTCAGATGTGTCTGGGACCTGCCGTCCTGGCCAGTTCCTGTGCCCCGATCATCGCTGCATTTCGGACGTGTATGTGTGTGATGGAGACCTGGACTGTGCAGATGGCTCAGATGAGAAGGACTGCGGTAAGAGTGAAGACTGTGGTTTTTCTCTCTCTCCCAGAATGATGTGCCAGTGCAAGTTCTTGTCACAACAGCCTTAATATTATCCCTCACAGAAAAGAAAAAATGCATCATTACTGTTGATGATTACTAGTGATGATATTGACCATGACTGATTTACTATCTCTCACATTTTCTGTGTTTTCATGTTGCAATATCTTGTAATCTGGAGATGACATTTTCACCAACTCAACTAAAGAATTTTCCAGTACTGGGAGACACTGGCCTTTGTGTAAAACATTGCTTCCAGCACATTGCTTTCTCAAGTATGGTTATGCTCTGGTTGATGGGAGGTTGTCCAAGTTCTCCTTTGCCCTACTCCACTCAGCAGTGCTTCTTGTGTCTTTCCTGCTGTGTCTTAACAGTGTTCAGATGCCCTGTGACTCAGTTTGCCTGCTCCAGTGGAAACCAGTGCATCCTGATGAGCTACAGGTGTGATGGCGTGTTCGATTGCAGGGACCACTCCGACGAATTGGGATGTCGTAAGTCAAAGCCGAAGGGGGCGCTCAAGTTATCCTGGGGCTCAAGTGTTAGCTTTTCCTCTAAATATCTGTCCAGCAGCACATCCAGAAGAGAAGAGGTCAGGTGTAGGGAAGATGACAAGAATGTCTGGAAGTTGGTGTGCCTCAGTATGCCAGTCTGATGGAAATGTATGGTCTTGCTTTAGCCACCCGGGCCCCGGGGATGTGCCACGACCATGAGTTCCAGTGCCAGGGTGATGGTTTCTGCATCCCTGAGAGCTGGGAGTGTGACCGGCATCCAGACTGCCAGGATGGCTCCGACGAGCACAGGGGGTGTCCGCCGCACACCTGCCGCCCCAACTACTTCCTGTGCGACAATGGGAACTGTGTGTTCGAAGCCTGGGTGTGCGACGGCGAAAACGACTGTCGGGACCTGAGCGACGAGCGGCACTGCCCCACGCCCCCCTTCAGCTGCCCCAGCGGTCAGTGGCTCTGCCCCACCGACCAGGTGTGCGTCTCCATCGACCGGCTGTGCAACGGGCAGAGAGACTGTCCAGATGGAGCGGACGAGTCTCCCAGCTGCAGTGAGTACAAGTCTCCTCCCCTGGCCTCCTGCCCCGGGATCTCAGGGCGTGACTAGTCTATGTCAGATCCTGCTCCCTGAGAGCTTCAGGCTCTTCTCGTTTTTCCTCGTAAACTGGAAATAAGCTGAATTGATTTAGGAACAAGTAATAGGTTTATTCCATGCTGAAAAAAAGAAGAAAGAGAACACAACGTTTCAGCCGTGGAGCCTTCTTCGGCTGTGTCTTGCCTGGGATTTGAACCCATGGAATTTGGTTACACCTGAAGAAGGCTCCACTCCCGAAACGTTGTGTTCTCTTTCTTCTTTTTTTCAGCATGGAATAACCTATTACTTGTTCCTTTGCAGCCTACGCATGCTGACGCAGCTCCCCACCTAAATTGATTTAGTGTCTAACACGGATTTAATCCAAGGTGCTCGGCAAGGTGGGTAAACTTGGCGCTTGTGCTCTGCAGATGAGGACGACTGCTCGGTTAACAATGGGGGCTGCACTGGTGGCTGTGTGCAGGGGCCTTTTGGAGCCCAGTGCACCTGCAGTCCTGGGTACCAGTTGCTGAACGACTCCAAGACCTGTGTGGACATTGACGAGTGCCAGATCCCTGGGACCTGCAGCCAGGCTTGCTACAATGAGCGTGGCTCCTTCCGGTGCTACTGCGAGGATGGTTATACTCTAGAGTCTAATGGCAGAGTCTGCAAAGCAACAGGTGCTTTTTCCTCTTTGTTAATGGAAACTCATGGAGGGGTTCAGTTTTCTAGGAATATGTTACACTTTATTTAGCTGATGCACTATTCCAAAGTGACTTTTACGCACACATTTTCAGCTGTTTTTTTTACTGGAACAATCTGCATGTACTGTAATTGCCTTGCTCAAGGGTACAACAGCTGTGTCTTGCCTGGGATTTGAACCCATGGAATTTGATTACCCTAACCGCTGTGCCACACGCTATTGCTATTGCTAATAATGCTATTGATGACTTAAAAAATGGGAATAGTGGTACAATACTGAGAGCACAAGCCCTGCACAGTGATGCAGTGTTGTAAAGTGATATGATTATGTATTGTTATTCTTAATGAAGATTTTGTGCATTTTTAGATCCAAGGGATGCTTTACTCCTCGTCACCAGGAGGAACCAGATCATCTCAGATAATATCAGTGCTCAGCCCAACATCATCCAGCCTGTGATTCTAGGTGGATCAGATATTGTGGCAGTGGATTTTGACAGGGTCACCAGCAGAATCTATTGGGCAGATGCATCACAGAAGAAAATCTGGAGTGCTTTGCAGAATGGTACTGACACCAAAGAGGTAGGATGTCCAAGATAGCTGTTGTATTCCATTTGCACACATTACATTCACATTTGTGTTTGGAAGTATTTGGTAAGCCTTTTTTTGCATCACTGTTTGGTGATCCCATTCCAAACATTTTCCGCCTGGAAGTCTTTGATATCCAGTTGTTTAAGCTGATTAGCAGGTGGTAAAAAAGGAGGGTTTCTATCATAGAGGGAAATGCAATTAGTATATGTACAGAATTGAGAGCACTTATCCAGACCACTCCAGCAAGTCCTTCTTTAGTGCTTAGCGCAGTGGCTGCAACCTACTCAGTCGTGTGTCCCTTTATTCCTGGTCTTTCCAGGTCTTTTCCAGTGGGGTGACGGCACCAGAGAGCATTGCCATTGACTGGGTGGGCAGGAACCTCTACTGGACTGACTCACTGCTGGAGGTGATCGAGGTGTCCACTCTGGAAGGCAGATTCCGCACTGTTCTGCTGAGTGACAACATCACCAGTCCACGAGGGCTGGCTCTGGACCCACGAAACCAGTAGGTTCCAGATGAAGAGTGATTTCCTTCAATTAGAAGCTGTAATCACTAACGTGGGTCATTCTAATCAACAGATGGACACTATTTGCTATGAACCAACATTTGAATACACATTTGCCATGAAGCAAAATATCCAGTTAAAAATTGTACCAGTATATGGTTTTCAGAAACTTTTGATTGGGAAAAACCCAAATAGACCCATCTGACTACTTCCTGGGCCATAGGATATTTTCCTGGGATCCTTTGTTCTTTCCTGTTAATACAGTGTTAATACAGTTAGGTATGTTTGTTTATTGTTTACATTTTGACTGTTTCCTTGATGTTTTTTTCCCCATTGTATGTCCTGTGTCGTGTGTTTATCAAAGATATCAGGGCTTCAGGAATCGGGGAAAAAAAAGTTTGTGGTTGATCTCAAAACATTGGTAATAAATACCATGGATGACTTCACCCTCTGGATAGTTAGTATATCTCAAAGTACATATGGATTACAGGAGCCTCTCAATGTGGGCTGGTTTAAATTGAGAATTAATTCCACATTTGGAAGAAAAAGATGAACTGTATGTAGAAAAGCATTGGCTGGGTTACTGTTGGATTTTTGCCATGTATGGATAGATGGCAATGGTGTTTAAGATCATTAACAACATTGTTACAGGAGTCACAGGTGTACAGATGAGAACTGAAAGAGTGTTTTAAGTTTCCAACCTGACTTGCTCTGGAGGAAGCATCACAGATATTTCACAGCAAGTTAAGGAGACCCTGTGCTTGAAAAAGCCATGATGAATGTCACCTTTCTTCACCAGCACCAATCTGATGTTCTGGACTGACTGGGGTCAGAACCCGAGGATAGAGAGGGCAAGCATGGACGGAACCATCCGCAGAACCATCCTCACCCACAAAGTGTACTGGCCAAACGGTCTGGCCATCGACTACCCCACTCGCCGGCTGTACTTTGCAGATGCTTACCTGGATTACATTGATTACTGTGACTACGATGGCAACAACCGCCAGCAAGTCTTTGCCAGTGACTTGGTGAGTTGGCACTGTCTTGGCTTAGCATTTCTCAGAAACCTTTGGTTTATTTAAGTGGTTAATTAAAGAGAATATGGAAAAGCAGTAAAGATTAGAGGGCTCTCATCCAGCTACAACCTGCTTCATCCAATGAATCTTCAGTGAATGTAAAAGAAGAGCATTCCCAATTTAGAGAAAGAGTAATGAGATAAGACTACACTCACATACACAATTATTGGCGTTATTCAGTATTAAGATAGTTGGACCAATTAACTTCCAACAACCACATGTATGTGAACAGCTTCCTCTTTGTAATCTTCCTTTTGTTTTCATGTTCTTCACTCAAACTCTTTTCTCCTGTTGTGTCCTTTGACATGTCCAGATCCTGCAGCACCCTCATGGCATGACTGTGTTTGAGGACTATGTATATTGGTCTGAGAGGTACACCAGCAAAGTCATCAGGGCTAACAAGTGGCATGGGCAAAACCAAACGGTTATGCTGAACAACGTTTACCAGCCCATGGGCATCGTGCTGGACCACCCTGTCAAACAGCCTGCAGGTGGGACTGAGCGGAATGCCAGAAACGGCAGAAGGGTTAATGACGTTCTTGCCAGACTCGTATGAGTGTACCAGTGTAAGAAATGACAAACTTCAGGTCCACAACATGTCCTTTTGTGCATTCCTCTTTAGATATTAAAATCTTATTAAATTATCTGGATAATGCATGAAGTAGTATTTACAATCTAGAGAAGATCTGATCTTGGAGTTACTCTTCCTGGTATATAAGAATGGTTGATATACACATACAGTCTTGAAGCACGGTGCAGCCCAAGGTAAAGTAATATTCACTTGTTTGATGCAGATTGATTGATTTGGGTGGTCTAGCCAATACCCAAATCCTTTGCTATTCCTCACAGCTTGGAACCCTTGTCTGAACCATCAGTGCAGTCAGCTGTGCCTGCTGGCGGGCATAAGGCCTCGGTACTACTCCTGCGCCTGCCAGTCTGGCTGGCATCTTGGCAGTGATGGACGCACATGTGAGAAAGGTACAAAGTCTACTGTTGTATCAGTTTAGAACATGGACCTAAGGGGTTCAGTTCCTTTAGAAATGCCTTGATTATAAACTGAGCTGGTGCCAGCCAGTCAGTCCATGCTGGCTTGGTTTCTAGAGTTATCCACTTTGCTTCTTGGGTCCAGCTCAAGCTTCAGAAAATGTTTGATTTTACATTTCAGGAGTACTATTCATTTTCAAATTTTATTGATGATTTTGTGCTATAAATGCTGTTAAATTCAAATTGTAATAAAGCAAACATAAATGCAAAGTTGAAAAATCCATAGTTTTGCGTACAGTATTTGTGTTGGACATCCTAACACAGTAAGTGAATTAATGGATGAACAGACTTGTAATATTTCATCATGATGATCCATCTGGAATTCAGTTGGGAACTGTTTCCTAACCAAGAAAAGAGTGACTCCACACTCACTTTTGAAAAATACTTAGTTGCACACAAAATGAAGTTTCCAAAACTTTACTGAATCATACGTGTGGAAAGCTGAATAGAATCACCATTCCCAAGGAGTTTGTTTCTTTTCACGGGACTGTGGTTGTAACTGATGCACGACCTCATGGTTTCAGACAACACCCCTTTCTTAATGGTTCTCCGAGACACCACCATCTTCGGCATCCCTCTGGATCCTAACAACACTAATGACAACGCCATGATCCCCGTGATGGGTATCAGTCATGGGCAGGACCTGGACTTTGATGACCAGGAGCAGTATGTGTACTGGGTACAGAACCCTGTAAGTAATGAATGTTCGATTGTAACTGCTGTCGTCTTAAGAGTGGTGAACATGTCTAACCAACCATAGCAAGTCCAATGACTTTGGTTTTGAAATCCATATATAGACTTACAGTACATCTAAGAGATTGGTGAATAATTCTTTAGCAGAGTTGCTAAATTCTTCGATATTTGCTCGTTGGATTTGTGCGGTAAGAATAGTCTCATACCTGGAGGGCTTTTGTACTCCTCAAACAGGGAGCCATTCACCGAGTGAAGACTGATGGCACCAACAGAACGCAGTTCGCTCCAGCAGCAGTGATTGGTTCTCCTTCTGGCTTAGCTTTTGATTGGATAAGTCGGATGATGTATTACACCAATCCCACCGGCCAGTCCATTGAGGTAAAACTTCAGAACTACTACATTGAACACAGAGTCCAGTACCTGTTTGTCTCTTTATCAATAGTTTGGTTTTGGTTATCTACAAATATCACGTATCAAATGTAGAGCAGTGCTTCATAAACCCCTGGATTCAAAATGACAGTTTCAAAACGAATTGAAAGTAATACTTACTGCATAATTCAAACATTTTAGCATCATCTGCAGAATGGCTAAATTGGTCCAATTAACCTTTAAGTGAGGTATTGTCATATGTCAAAATGAGAATTTTGTTGTGTAGGTGATCAGGGTGGACGGAGAGCAGCACTACAGAAAGACAATAATCGCCAACACTGGGAAGCCTGAAGGGGCTGGAGAGCCGATTGGAATCGCTCTGGATCCAGCCAGAGGGTAGGTGTGCATTGCCATTGCACAGCCTACAGACTGTGCTGCAAACCCACAAAAAGAAACTGTACACTTACCTTTGTCCATGCATTGTCCATGACTGTGGCCGCCGGCTGGGCTTAGACAATTCAAAACAGTTAAGTGCAACTACCCACCTAAATTTTATGATGATTAGAATTAAGTTTATGGCCATTTTTATGATGTTTCAAAAAGAATAGAAACATTTGATATCATTTCAAGTAAGATTTTATTTTTTACTACATGCTAGATACTAAGAGTAGTATCTAATAAAAAAATAGTCTAGCCAGCTAATAATTGAATGCTACAGAAACCCTCTGGCTGTTTGTAAGTGTCACTTCACGTGAGCGGGTGTTTTCACCCTATTGGCCATGTCTCTTCAGGAGGCTGTTCTGGACAGACCGAGGGACAAGCCGCAATGTCCCTCCCAAGGTGGCCACAGCAGAGATGGATGGCAGCAGCCCCAGAAACCTGTACACCGGCAGACTGGAGCACGTCGAGTTCATCGCCGCCGACCTTGCAGAGAGCAAGCTGTACTGGGGAGTCACCAGCACTGGAGTGGTAGGTAGAGTCGCTTAGAGGCCAGGTGTGCAGTGAAAGACATCTTTTTTTTTTTTTAGAACAATATTTTTATTTGTTTTGATTTTTCCAGAAAGGAAAAGCACAAACCTAAAGACCTCTGAGGTAGCACCCATCTTTGGAAAATCTTTAACATCTTGTAAATCTCTGCCCATGGTCCATCTCTTGTCTATAATATCTGACTCTCTTTATTAGTTTAAATACGTGGTGTGTTGTTAGGATTTGTCATGTGCTGTATAATCTGTAAGATTGCAGGTTCATGCTTTTACAGCCGATCTGTAGGTCATGGGGTGTAAAGATTCGAGAATGAAATGTTTTGCATGTGCCTGACATAGCAGAAACAGTACATGCAGCAAAGGCAGATTAAGAATATAATTATAGCATCTGCTGCCAATGGTTTTCTGATTTAGTTTTTTCTGTACTAGTCTTAGTTTAGACATCTTAATATCTATGCAAAGTCTTAGATTAAGATACTGGTGTGCTTGTCTGTAGTCACTTGCGGGCTAATTGTGACATAGATTATTACAGGGTTTTTGGATAAGGCTAGCAATACGACCTTTAGAATTTCATCTTGCCCTTGGTTATGTCTGTGTTTTTTCTTCTTGTAGATCGAGTGTGGGACAATGGATGGTGTGAGTCGTACAACAATCGTGCACAGGCTCTCTCGTCCCTGGGGTGTGGCTGTTCACCAGAGCTTCCTGTACTACACCGACCTGGACTATGAGGTCATCGAGAGAGTAGACAAGGCCAGCGGAGCCAACATGGTGGTGATGAGGAGTGGCATGCCTGGAGTGAAGGCTCTCAAAGTCCATTACAGAGATGGTGAGTGTAGGCACACCCAGAGATGCAAAATCCAGACTTCATACAGACTCACCCTTTGGTTTGTGCATTTGTGTGCATTAATGGTTGTGCAAATAAGCTGGTGGCGCTTTCTCATGAACTATGTATTGACTTTAAGAGAAAACACAGAGGTAGGCCTGAAACTGTGATCGTCTGCTGTAAAAGATGATGGAAGCCAGTCTTGTGGAGAGCCATAAGTCGTGGGATTTCTCTTGCAGATTCATCTGGAAGCACCAATGCCTGCAGCTCCAGCAATGGAGGGTGCCCACACCTCTGCCTGCCCAAGCCCAGTGGACAGAAGACGTGTGCTTGCACCACTGGGTTTGTGCCCTCCCAGGCTGGTGCCAGCTGTGTGCAGTACGACTCCTTCGCTGTGGTGTCCACTCTCACTGAAATCCGAGGCTTCCACATCAATAGCTCCGACCACTCTGAGGCCATGGTGCCTGTCTCACAGTGTAAGTATTGACTTTTTGTAAATATGAATTAAATTCTGGGTATATTCCATTTTTGCATTTACCCTATGCCCTCAAATACAAATCTGTTAAGTAAAATAACTTGCATATTAAATCTTTTGCACAGAATTCTGGACATTAGTATTCAGTGATGTTTGCATATTGACTCCTTTCCAATGTCTTGAAAATGTTAGACCATACATATTGAGGAGCAGTTTCTTGACCCCTATTGACTTGATAACTGAAAGAGGAAGTGCATGTTTTTAAAAAAATTGAAGGTCTTAAAGTCACAGCATAGTTTCCAGACATGCCCGAGACTGGCTGCACACATTAAGATAGAGGAAAACTGTTTACTTTTACTATCCTACAGTTAATGAAGTACTGTGGTCCTAATGACAGTGATCATCTTTTCTTGCAGTCACTTACTCTGAGGTTAACAAGACAGATGTGCACGTGGCCTCTGGGTTTGTTTATTGGTCAGACAACAGCATCTATTCCTCCTACAAGGGCATCTTCCGGGTGAGAACTGATGGCTCACAGTATGCCCCCATCGTCAGCTCTGGAATTGGAAGGAATGGGATACTGGGCATTGCTGTGGACTGGGTCGCGGGTAAGTCAGAAGGAGCTCAAGCGTTTGATGAATTATAACAACACAGAAGAAGAGTGTAACCTTCTAATTTTTTTTTTCTTCCAACAAATTTTGAATGAAATTATTAAATAATTTTAAGGGGGTGGGGTGTGTAATTTTACGTGGAAGAGTGAAAGTGCATACATATTCAGCCATTCATTTAAACATTAGATTAGATTAACCATTAACAGTTTGTCATTCCACATATGCTAGGCAAATTTATCTTGCTATAATGTGAAATATGCTACCAGATTTATCATCTAGAATTCTGTCTCTCCAATGTTTTCCTGCAGGTAATCTCTACTTCACCAATGCCTTCGAGACCCAGACCTACATTGAGGTTCTCCGACTGAACACCACGTACCGCCTGGTTCTGCTGAAGAGCAGTGTGGACAGGCCCCACGACATTGCTGTCAGCCCACGCCTGCGCTACATATTCTGGACCGATGGGGGCCAGACGCCCAAGATCGAGAGAGCGTTCCTTGATGGAAGGAACAGGACAGTCCTGGCATCTGAGAGCCTGGCAACACCACAGGGCCTGACGGTAGACTACACTAGTGACTACCTCTACTGGACTGATGACACCCTTGACCTGATCTCCTGCATGCGCTTCGATGGCACCCAGCGTCAGATCGTCCGCTTCGGCAGCCGCTACCCCTCTCCTTGTGGCATCTCTATTTTTGGCAACTATATGATCTGGGTGGACCGCAACCTGCGAAGGGTGTACCAGGCCAGCAAGCAGCCAGGGAACTCCGATGCCCCGGAAGTGATCCGTGACAACCTCAGTGACCTGACGGATGTGACCGTCTTTGACGCCCATGTCCAGCCCCTCTCAGCCAACCTGGTGGGTTTTAATCCCTGCTTGGAAGACCATGGCCGATGCCAGCAGATCTGCTTCGCCCTGCCCGAGATCGCTCAGCCGCAGTGCGGGTGTGCCCACGGCAGTCTCCTGAGCAATGGGGTGTCATGTGGGTATGGTCTGGACGAGTTCCTCATCTACACCACAGATTACTCGATCCACAGTGCCCGACTGGATCCAGAAGACCACAGCCTGCCCTTTACCCCTGTCACACTGAGCTACAGTGTGGTCGCCCTGGACTTTGACTTCCAGGACAAGAGGATCTACTTTGCCCAGAGCAATGGCTATCGCTACAGCAAGATTGGATACTTCAGCACCACGTCCCCTTCCATCTCCCCAGTCATTGTGGAATCTGGTAAGATAGGGGGAGCCCCCAAGCATCACTGTTTTTCTGTTGTAGACATTGAGCCCAACAGAACAATGAACTATGAACAGTAGTCGGGTTCACATTAATCACCTTGGAAGTGTGCTAATAAGTCCTCTTGGGTCCAGTTTGTTCCTGATGAATAAAAAAGGCTTAAGACGTTGAATGGGTTGCAGCAACGTTACCCAGTCGATTTGTACAGCGTTAATGAAGCAAACTTGGGTCCACTTACCTAATGCTGAAGAGACAGCTAAGAGGAACCTCAGCCCTCTCTAGAGCTCTCAGGGGAGTCAGGGCTGTGGATGTCTTCAGTTGATTAAAACGAGTCTGAGTAAGCTACTTCTTCATCCTACATCTCTTTAGATCTGAATGACCCGAAAGGACTAGCGTTCGACTGGATTAACAAGAGGATCTACTTCAGCAACTATTACAATAAGAGCATCCAGGCCATGGGACTGGATGGACAGAACCGAACCCACATTGCCCACGTCCTGGGCCCACAGGCCATTGTGTTGGATCCTTGCTATGGGTAAGCTACTCAACAACTAGACTGTACAAATGCTTAGTGCCCCTTTCTATGCTGCTTGCCATTTCAAAATGGTAGATCCTTAAAAGGCAGAGAAAATAGAAAATAAGCATTATTTCCATTGCTTAAAAAAGTGACACATTTGGACTTTAATGGGTTTTTAAGTTACTGAGGACGTTTTCACCTTGAGCTTTACAAAACATCACTCATTGTGTAGCTATCATCCAGTTCTCTGATTGATAGAGCCGTGCTGTCCTCCGAACCATTTCTCATTTAACCATTTTCACCATCTTGAAACTGGCATGCATGCACACTACAAAAGTCTGAATAAACAACATTTGCAGTTGGTCTAGGCTCTAGAGTAGGTGATTTAAATGTACAAATACTGTAGGTAAATCGTGGTCTATCCAGTCCTGGGTATATCAACTAGAATTCCAGCTTTAGATTATTTTAAAGTACTTTCTTCTATGTGTGTGTCCCTTTGTGCACGCTGTAGGTACATGTACTGGACAGACTTGAGCTTCCCAGCGAAGATTGAGCGTGCCACCTTGGGGGGCAGTTTTAGGGTCTCCATCATCAACAGCAGTTTGTCTCGACCTAGTGGACTGTCTATTGATTATGAGGAGAGGATGCTTTACTGGGCAGATGCTTACCTGTATGTATGGAACTTTTTACAATATGCAAGCATTAGCCTATAGAAACCCCTGCCAGATTCTGTCTTTCTTTATAAAGATCTAAAGTTGATGACAATTCTTAATTAGTATATAATGTAAGTCAGCTGTGATAGTGGTAGTTGTGGTAGTTCCTTTGCTTTTCCTCCATAGCTTGCGTTGAAATTGTCAGTAACAATCATGCACAGAATTGAAAAAAAGTAACCTGATTCAGGTATTAACATAGCATTCAGATTTGTTTGACCAAAATACTATGTTCAGAATTTAGGTTTAAAGAATGTCAGAATCCACACTCGTTCCTTTTCCTGTATGTATATCTGGAAAAAACAGCAAAATCCCGAGTGAGAAGGGCATTGTGTTACAGGGATAAGATCGAACGCTCCTCGCTGACGGGTCAGGACAGAGAGGTGGTTCTGAGCAACCTGCACAGCCCCTTCGCCATGACCGTGTACCAGCAGCACATCTTCTGGACCGCCTGGGACACTCGCAGCATCTACAGGGCTAACAAGGACGATGGCTCTGGAGTCACGGCAGTGATCCAGGATCTACTGTACAAGCCCAATGACATCCAGGTGGCAGCCCCTTCCAAGCAGGAGAGCTGCTCCAGTCCCTGTCAGAAGTTCAACGGGGGCTGCAGCCATGTCTGTGTACCAGGTGCGAGTTGAGGGATTCCGTTAATTTGGTCCAAATGACCAGTGAGCACCGCTTCTGCAAGTCCAGCCCATTATGGGACTTTTCCTGATTCTGATTCCTGATATAGATCATGATCGTGTTCCTGTACAGCATGGATTTTGCTAGTGCAGTCTGTGAAATCAATCTGCTTGATTCAATGTGTTTGAGTCTGTTCCAGCTAAGGGAAGGTCCCTGCTGAAAACAATGTCTACCATTAAGATCCAGCCACTGTGTTCTATCTGACCTCATCAACAAACTGATTGCTGCTTCCTCTTGATCTAAACTAGAATCCCTGGAGCCCTGAGGAGGCCACATGTGACAATGGCCTCATTACTTCATCACTGTTTCATTTTCTCATCTATTTTTCTTTACTGTTACCCTCTTGTGCGTTGATAGTTCTCTCAAGTGCCGTGTATGCTTGGAGATTGGGACTTTCTACATAAGCTGTGATGACAATCTGTGCTTGTCTGCCTGCAGGACCCTCAGGCCCAGAGTGTCAGTGCCCCCTGGAGGGCAAGTGGTATCTGGCAAACAACGGCAAGGACTGTGTGCAGGATGGGGGCACCAGGTGTGCCCAGGGCCAGTTCACCTGTCTGAATGGCCGGTGTATTTCTCAGCGCTGGAAGTGCGATGGGTACAATGACTGCCTCGATGGCTCAGATGAGTTGGAAAGAGTGTGCGGTAAGAGAGGCAGAGGGTGGATGACCTCTCACAAACCCTCAGCTGCCCACTACGCTGTTAGGTGTTTCTACAGACAATATCTTTCTGCTGTTTGAGGGACTATATTCCTGCAGAACCTTGTCACAATTATTGGCACCGTTGATAAAGATGCCAAAGAACAAAAAAGACTGAACAACATGGGTATTGAGCTCCATTATCATTTTCCAAGATACGGAATATGTTTTTCACAACAGACCAAATTACACACTTTAAATTTAAAAACGTTCCATCATATCGACTCCCCTGTTTTCAGTCAATTGTGCGGTCCCCCAGTGCAGGGTTAACAAGAATAAGCCTTTTTCAATCATGACTTACTAGATTGGAGAACACATTGGGTGGAATATTTTACTCTTCCCCCATACAGTCTTTCCAGATCCTTGATATCCTTTGGCCTGAGCTTATTTATGGAGTGCCCTCTTCAATTTACACCACAGGTTTTAAATGGGATCGAAGTCTGAAATAGTCTTTGCTGAATTTTCTTTTCAGCAAGGAATAACCCTTTTTCTGGTTACTAAAAAGCAAAAAAAAAAACAAAAGACTGTAGCTGGAGAATGCACTGAGCTGTTTCCTCTTGTTCCCCAGCGTTCCACACCTGCTCCCCCATGGACTTCACATGCGACAGCGGCCGCTGCGTGTCCCTGTCCTACGTCTGCGACTACGTGAACGACTGTGGGGACAACAGTGACGAGCAAGGCTGTCCTTTCCCCACCTGCGACCCCGCCACGGAGTTCACGTGCAGCAATGGCCGCTGCATCAGCAAGCACTTCGTCTGCGACGGGTTCGACAACTGCCGCGACAACGCCACTTCTGACGAGAGGAACTGTCGTGAGTGTCCACCCTCGGGGGGTGGTTCGCCTTGGTCACAACATGCTCCGTGCTGCTCTGCTTGTATCTGTCTGACTCTCTGCGGTGCATGGGCGACTGGGATGTCATCAATGGGATATTGGTATTGATCTTGTGGTCAATTAACCATTTCTATGTGGATTTTGATGTGTGCCTGGGGTCCCTGTCTTGCTGGAAGATCCAGTTGTGGCCATGTTTTTTACAGTTTATTGCCCACATTACATACTAACTCTCGAGACGGGGAGATCCACCTACCATTGGAATACAAACAATGCTGACAATGAAGAAATAGAAACACACCAAGCAAACAGATGCTAGATAGAGGGGGATTATTATAGTTTCACTCCAGTGACATGTCTACGAGAATTCTCCCAAACACAAAGTTAGCATACAAGTAGTAGCATGTACTGGGGTGATTAATTTTCCTTTTCCTAACTGTCACGTATAGCTCTGAAAGGCATGCTGGTGACTTTATTCCATATTCCTGTTTTGTTTAGGCTGGTGGAACACTCCTAAAGATGCTTTGGCATGCAAACAATCGTGATATGAACTATAGAGGCCATATTTACATGTTCTGGGAAGGGCAACCAGGATTTTGGCTAAATATCTTGGTACCAGAGTATGTGTGCTGGACGGCATTTTAGCGCTGTTTTCATGATCATTTTAATTAACACTACTGGCAAAATACAACGGGCACAGATTGGTATTATTTTTTCTAAACCATTTACTGGATATTTACAAACCAGTGTTAACAAGCATGAAGAATAAGTGCCTATGATAAACTTATAGCATACAATGGAGTGCAGTCCATAGAGCTCAATCAATATGAAAAATGGACAGCCACTGACTCCAGCAGACGGAAGAAGAAAGAAAAGGAGTCACATTCTAGTTGCAATTAAAGTGGGAGCAAACCTCATCTCACAGTTCAGTAGTTATAAATAAAGATCTGTACAGCAAACCTCGGCTCTTAACCTACACTACAGTACATAGAGTTTTCTGAAATCTGAAATGAATAGATATGTGATTTTTTGTTTCCCTCCCAGCGGACAGAACCTGCCCCTCAGGGACCATCAAGTGTGAGACCACCAACATCTGCATCTTCCCCAGCACTCTGTGTGATGGCTACAACAACTGTGGAGACAACAGTGATGAGAACCCCATCTACTGCCGTGAGTTTTAGTTTGTTCCAGGCACCTCTGAGAGTAATGCACAGCCTCAGTTTAATTATTTTCACTGGCAATGTGCCACAGGAAAGGTTTGGTATTTATTTTTTTAAATCTGTTCATTGGATATTGTAAGAAATAATGAAACCATCTGCATGAGGTATGCATTGCTAGCATTTGTGTGCAAATCTCTTTACAAACTCTTCCTTGACCAAAGACCAAAGAGATTTGGCACCTTGAATGTGTTTGTAAATTGAATACATCTGAGACCAGGGATTTTTCTATGTTGCTATTCTTTGAATTTTACTCATTTTGTAATGGATAACCCAAGCTGAATGTTAATGTCTCAAAGTGACAGCTTTCTGGAATGGAGTCTTCCCTCTTTCTGCAGATGAAAGGACCTGTGCACCTGATGAGCACAGGTGTGACTCTGGCAAATGTATCCCTTCCTACTGGGTGTGTGATAACGTCATTGACTGTCAGGATGGTTCAGATGAACCTCCTTCATGTGGTAAGCCAGCACATGCACAGACCCATATAAACATCCACTGTAATAGACCATGGTAAAATTAGAGTGCATTTCAGTAAAGGTAAAACAGACCCCCTGGAAACAGTCAAGTCAAAGTAAATGGAAAGGAAATTGTACATAAAGGATATATCAGTTGCATAAATAAAGCATTCTCAATTTTTCATCTGCATATACTGCGTGATTGCTGGCCCTAAGTAGAGGGAAGTCTATCCCAGATTTAAAAAAAAAACTGCTCGTTATCAAGTGCTTAACAGAATAGCCTCTCACGTAACAAATTGTACCTCCTCACAACCCATATCCCGGCTTGTAATGTGTAGTCCAAATTATCTGCATTCTATAGTTTACAAGATATCCCATATTTGTATTTTCAGACTTCAGTAGTCCCTGACGATGAAATATTTTCAAAAATACACTCCACTTTATTTATCTAAATTGATTACAAAAAGTGTTTATTTATATAAATAATCAGTGTTTTCTATGAGCTGTGATGAAATGGCGTACAGGGTCGGTACTGACTTGCATCCGTTGCCTGCCAGGTTGGGCTCCGGCTTCCCTGCAAGGGTGCACCAGTTAAAGCAGCTACAAAATGGGTGGATTTCATTCTACAAAACAAAATTCCAACTGAATGACCACTAAGACTATAGTGCATGGAGCTGCCATCTTGTAATGCCGTTTTTGTTTTAAAACGATTAACACTTTAGGCACACACTGTAGGAGTGACTAACTCCACAATCGATCCGACTTGTGCTAGATTTCCTCTCTCACCTGGTCTGTCTCTCCCTCTAGAGGACATTACCAGAACCTGCCACTCAGACCAGTTCACCTGTGTCAATGGGAACTGCGTCCCTGAGTCGCTGGTGTGCGACGGGAACAATGACTGTGGAGATGTGAGCGATGAGGCCCCTGAACTCCAGTGTGGTAAGGGAGGGGTGGGGAGAGGCAGTGAACTGTTTCACCATTGCTGGGTTTGCGATTTGCTCGTAGATCAAAGCTCAAGTTTAATACTTTATTACCATAACAGGTTGTGTGGAATTGGGTTTGGTGAGCTCATGCTATTAAAGCTCATGTAGTTAAAGTTCTGCACAGCCAGTCCCACTTGCTTACTGATATGAGATATAGTTACCAGGTTCTATTTTGTGTGTTCAATTTTTTAACTTACTGAATCTGATTTGGTGTGACAAGAGTGTATAGTTCTGGGAAATTAATTGTTGAATTTACCCAGAGATGAGAAATTTTAAGATGGGTAAAAGAAGGGTTGGAATAGTTCCCATGAAACACGTGCCCTTCCTCTGGCAGAGCTGAGGACCTGCAGCCCGGATCAGTTCTCCTGCCCCCCGGCCTCGTCCCCTGGCCCTCGCTGTGTCCCGCAGGCCTGGGTGTGTGACGGAGACCGAGACTGTGCCGATGCTGCCGACGAGCTCCAGAACTGCCCCAACCGCACCTGCCACATGAACGAGTTCCGCTGCGCCAACGGGCTGTGTATTTTAATGGGCTTCCAGTGCGTTTGCCTTTTCTTCTCTGACATCTGATAATAGAATTAGAAGAGCCTTCTGCCTTGATCAGCTCAGCTGAGCACCCATATGGTTCTGCAGACTATGATGGTTCTATCAGGGTCCCATATGGAAGTTTCTTTCCAACAAAAGGCAATCAAGATAACCAAATGTGGTTTTACCACACTTTGATGGGTACAAATTATATAAGATATAAGACTCCTATCATGTTACAAATGATGAAGAATGGTCTATGAGCCCCAGAACTGCAAAGAATGACATACCAGGGACTTTGTCTGCATTGGCTAAGATTTTGAAACAGTGGACAAATCCAAGTTGCAATAGGCATTATATTGTTAATGAGTTTTCTTTTTTGTGTTGATTTCTCCATGATTTGACGTGAAGCTCTTGATTTCATACAACATGAAATGCTAGGTATTATTGTGATGTGTTGTGCTGTTATCTCCTCCCGGGTCTCTGTGGGAGAAAGGGAAAATCCTGCAACCAGCTTGAGCATGTGACCACAGGAATGCTTAGAACAATAATGTGATACAGAGGAACATTGTTCAAAAACATAAAGCTTGCAAATGATATGTGACCTTTGGGCTCATCTAGTTTGTTTAGTTTCTAGTTGGGAAGTGGGTCTCATACAGCCATGTTCTAAGAAAAAGTAATACCATCTTCAAGAACATGGTTGAGTAACTCCTGTCCGATTCCCACAACCCCTTGTCTGAAACAATGTCTCCTCTTCTCAGTTTTAAATTTTCACATAGTTTCCTTTTATTGTGCTCTGTTGATTCTGAAGAAATCCAGTGGGTTGACTTAAATGATTGAATACTTGAATCATGTCTCCTCATGGCCTTCTCTGTTTAACGCTAAACAGATTCAGTTCTTCCAGCCTGTCTGTGCAGGACATTTCTTTAAGACAGGAATGTATGTCATTGCTATTCTTTGGACTCATTCCAGATCCACGATATATGTTGCACACACAAGCGTATACCAGCACACACGAAAGCATTGACCTTTATCCTTCCTGGTGCAAAGTTAAGGTAGCACAGACTATAAGAAATATAGTAGGTCTTTAGATAAGAGAAAACCACTGGACCCAGGGAAGGCTCCTGAAACAAGAGTAGTTTTTGCACATTCCTCTGCGCAGTGGGTTTGACTGAAAGGGGCCTCTGTCTTGGCGCAGCTGTGACAGGGTGAACGACTGTGGGGACGGCAGCGACGAGCGCGGCTGCAAGTATCCCCCCTGCACCGCGCAGCAGTTCACCTGCCAGAACGGGGCCTGCATCAGCACTTCCTATGTCTGCGATGGGGAGTACGACTGCCTGGACCACTCGGACGAGCTGGACAGCCTGTGTCGCAGCCCCCAGCCCACCTGTGCCCCGGGGCAGTTCCAGTGCCGCTCCGGGGAATGTATCGACATCAACAAAGTTTGCAACCGGGAGAGGGACTGTCCTGACGACAGTGATGAGAAGGGCTGTGGTAAGGAGATGGAGACATTTCCTGCAAAACCTAACAAAGGCATTCATTTACTGTAGTACAGGGATACACTGTTTATACTGATCACAATGCATTTCATATACAGTATATATGTTTAGACAGCGGAACCCTCTTCTTTACTGGTACCTGTCTTCAGTCAATGTCTATGCACTTAAGCATTGATTTCCAACAGTCTGGCCCTATATACTGTATGTCACATTCCTCATGTGATACCATAAGCAGGGGTATGTATATACTGTATTTAAAATGGTAAAATTGCAGAACAGTAAAAATGGTTTTGTACCACAGCATTTGTGCTCGTACTGTTCATGGGATATGTACTTAATTTACATTTAAACTCTATTATTGATCTTATTATTAGATACACTGTTCCCATTTCCTATTGTATATGAACATACAACTCTGTTCAGCTTTACATAGTGGGATTTTAAACTCTCATGGTATAAACACCAGCTATCTGCATGAGCATCCATGTTTGACCCTGCACTATGTACATGCCCAAGTTACCCAAGCAAGGCTGTCGGGGGTATGCGTACGGAATATATTGAACTGTATATAGATGAGTGTCCAAATCTAATTGTTTAATAATGTTTCTTTCATCCTATAAAAGGTATTAATGAATGCACAAATCCAGCCATCAGCCAGTGTGCCCAGACCTGCACAGACACCCTGACCAGCTACTATTGCTCCTGTCTGCCTGGGTACCGGCTCATGCCCGATGGCAAGGCCTGTGAGGACATCAATGAGTGCACTGAGACCCCCTGGGTGTGCAGCCAGATCTGCGAGAACGCAGTGGGCTCCTTCTTCTGCAAGTGCGCCCCAGGCTACATCCGAGAGCCAGATGGGCGCACCTGCCACCAGAACAGCGGCATCCAGCCCTACCTGCTCTACAGTAACCGCTACTACATCCGCAACCTCACCACCGATGGCAGCTCAATGTCTGTGGTGTTGCAGGGCCTCTCCAATGCTGTGGCCCTGGACTTTGACCACTACGAGCAGAGGCTGTACTGGATCGACTACGGCAGGGGGAAGATCGAACGCATGTTCTTCAATGGCACCGGCAGGGAGGATGTAATAGCCCACGATGTGCCTGAGGGAGAGGGGCTGGCTATTGACTGGGTGGGCAGGTATGTGGGGAGCAGCCCTTTGATTCTCTGTTCCCTTCACACCGCTTCTCAGGATCGGAGACTTCCACACGGGAACCATTATCTCCCAATGCTCCCGAACCACAGAGATCTGCAATGCTAAAGTGAGCAGTCTTGTTATAAGCACAATGTGGGTGTGGTGCAATGCTAGGCAACGGTTAGTTCAGTGTTCGTTAAGAGGGCTTTTATACGTCGTTCGTATGTACAATTTCCATAGTAAGAGAATTGCACTGGTGGGTTACTGTACGGGCTACCCAAAACATAAGGTCCAAGCTTGTTTATCAGCCATTCATGCCTCTCTGCCCCCTGACTTGCTTCTTACAGGAAGATGTACTGGGTAGATGCCAACCAAGATGCCCTGCATGTGTCCGAGCTGGACGGCCGGTTCCGGAAAAGGCTCCTGAGTGGCTGTCTACCCCCTAACAACACCTTCTGCTTTGCAAACCCCCGTGCAGTGGCGGTGAATCCAAAAGTGGGGTAAGAGAACAAGCAGCAGGTGTCTTGCAGTTGGCACACCTCTCAAACACCACCTCCAAGGTCAGGCTGATGATGAATCTAGACCACAGTGTGTCCATTATTCCGTGACACAATGGGCTCAGTGCCTGAAAATGAACAGGAAAAAATTGGTCATTTAGCTGGCTTTTACCACTGTATGTATTTCTACCTGTATTCAGGCCAGTGATTGTGTGGCAAAGCTTTCTGTGAACTTAGTGCAAGTCTTTGACGCACTTGTTACAGTCACAATGCCCTAAAATTAAACTTGCATCATCATAAACAACATATTAATTTAATATGTATTGCACGTGCAAGTGATCTCCAAGATCCTGTAAATCCAACAGTTCAGTTTTTCTCAGCAGTGAAACTGTTTTTATAAAAAAAACAAACATCAGTGAGACAGCACTGAAGAAGAATGTGAAAATATACATCCATACCAGCCATTTTCATCAGCTTCCAGCAGCAGAATCAAAACATCACAATGAACTATGTCATCAAAAAGACCTTCATGCTGACCAGAGAAGGTGGTGAGAGATGGTGCTCTTCTGATGAGCACGGGAAGCTTCTGCTTCAGCCACAAGGGGGCGATGCCTATGTGGAGTGGGCACAGGGAGCTGGAGAGTGATATGTGCTGTTCTGTTTCCCGGTCTTCACATTAGGTGGCTCTACTGGACAGACTGGGGCAACAAGGCCTTTATTGGCAGGGTGGGCATGAATGGCAAGGAGGCATCGGCCATCATCACAACCAAGCTGGCGTGGCCAAAAGCCCTGACCATAGACTACACTACGGACAAGATTTTCTTTGCTGATGCCCATCTTGACTACTTGGAGTAAGACCGAGCAGCCCTTCCACACTTCTATCAGAAACCCAGGCTGACCTTCCTTAGATTTTCTCCAGTTGCTATTTTAACCATGAGTAATACCAGAGGGCCTTCTATGCAATGTAGCATTAAGGATGAACATGGAGGTGAATGGTAGGAACACAGAGATGTTATAACAATGTAAACTGATCTCTTGGCTTCTTTGGATTCTTTTTGTTGCATTACATTAAGAAAATAATAGCTGTGGTGCTGTGGTGTTTACAACACAATTGTGTGACATCAGCTGCATTTGAAAAAATCTTGTTTAATCTGTGTGAATTTTAATGCCTGTTGGTGTAAAACATGAAATAAATTGGTTCCCAATAAATCCAGTGCATGGTCACGATTAAAGCAGAACTGCTAGGAGAGAGCTGGGATATGTCTGGCATAATTTATACCTTGAGTCTGTCAGTGTGGAAGTAAAGTGAAATCTTTGGAAAATAATAATATTCAATATGCTAAAACAATTGCCTTGGAGTAACAAGAGGGCTGTCTGGGCCCTTCTTTTAGTTCTTCATTCCTTTCATGTTGACAAGCTGCTCCAGGCGGCTGTGTCCCCTCCTCCCCTGCCAGGTATGCCGATGTGGACGGCCGGAACCGGCACGCGGCCATCGCGGGCACTCTGCCACACCCCTTCGCCGTCACCCTGTTCGAGGACATGGTGTACTGGACGGACTGGAACACCCACACTGTGGAGCGGGCTCACAAGTTCACGGGGCAGGGCCGGGCCTCCATGGTCAACAACACACACCGGCCCCACGACATCCGCGTCTACCACCCCTACAGACAGCCGCGCAGTAGGTCTTCCGCGCAGCGCCTCCCGGGGCCTCCTGCCCAGGAGCGTTCACATCACGTCCTCTTTATTTCTCCCTTTAGCCTCACTGTGGCTTTCCTGTGGTGTCACCATGGTTACAATGAAAGCGCCTGCGGTCGTGTGAAACATTTATGAGCTGAGGCTTCCCAGTTGTTTGATCCGTAAAGCGACTCCCTACGAGCCCGATATTTCTGGGCATGCCGTGTCCGCCCCCCTCCAAGTGTGGGGTTTCCACACCAGTGGCTCACAGGCAAGAGAGCACTGCCGCAGGGGTAAGACGCGTCAGCTAGGGTCCACTTCTCTGCCATCGGAGAACAGAGTCCTGCCACTGGCCTGGCAGCTGCAGGCTTGCACTCACAGCAATGAGAAACGCTGCTCGTCCCATCACTGCTATGTCAACTGCCTCTAACTGCCGGTGCCGGCGAGGCCATTCTGCTGTGCCATGTACCACCAGTAACCATGAACTCCTTCTTAAATAACCACAGGTTCCAAATTGGGTGGAAATATAAGGTGAACAAAAATCAAATGCGTATATATGGCGTATCATGTTGTAGTTATAACGTGCACAGCAAGGTTAAAGAATTGTACGTCACCTTGAAATACTGTATAAGATGTTTACAAGGGTTTCTCCTACATCTGAATGTGGCACAGTAAGGAGCAGGGGAAATAAACATGAAATCACATGATAGAACATTTTTTCATTGAGATATACTTTTTTGAAGGAGTTAAGAGAGGACAGTTGTATATTGATATAAAAAGTTTTTAATTCTTATGCTTTTAGTTTCAAAATCTTTCATCACCACTCCTGATTTTCTCCTGCAAATAGGCTATATGTCCGTGTTAGAATCTACAGACCCTTTAGTGTGATTGCCAGCCGTCTGGAAAAGCCTCTTAATCCAGCGTGCAGCTGTTGAGCTGGGATGTTTCTCCTGTGTCTTCAGTGGAGAGCCCATGTGAGAAGAGCTCTACCCAGTGCAGTCACCTGTGTCTGATCGCTCCGGGGGGCCGGCTCTCGTCCTGCGAGTGTCCCGACCACTTCGTCGCCATCTTCATCGGCTTCACCATCCAGTGTGTGGCCGACTGCTCCAGCACCCAGTTCCGCTGTGGAGACAATGAAAAGTGAGCTCTAGAAAAAGATGTTGCTTTCATAAAGTGGGTTCAATTTAGAATAATGCACACTTTATTCTACTTGAAGAAAATAAAGATATATTGTGGCCTCTGCCTCGTAGGAATTCCCTTATCCTCTTCAGTAAGGAAAATGTTGTATTTGAATCACTGCATTTATAACCAAGGGATAATTTTGCTAATTTGTACCACCCAAAAACACTTGTGTACAGGGGCTTATTAGTACCTTGCTGTAAACTAAAAGCTTCACCGAGTCATACAACATGCTCGTTATCAGAATCAATAACTGGTTACCACAGTTTGGGACAGCTATAGATTGCATTTGCCATTTTTCAGTACGGTGCATAGATGAAAAGGTTTGAGCAGATTTTCTTGATGCAAGCCACATGGTGGTAGTATTGTAACAAATAGTTCAGAGTTAAAGGAATCTCATAGGCATAGCCTATTGACAATTGTTTGTCATGTTCTTGTAAGTAACAATATGAATTAGGATGAATCATTTTAAACATTAAAAGTACTTATTCCAAAATGTATGCTGCACTATCCAGCTCAACTGATTTTAATAAGGGTTTTGCATCTCAGATTTGTACATGAAGACTCAGAGCTGCAAGCGAGCCTAATTAAAGCATTAATAATCCTGAAAGGCATTGAAAAAGTCAAGACAATGGACTTCAGAAATGACAGTGAAATATGAATATAAAATTAGATAGACCCACAATCCTCACTGCCATCTCTCACTCTTCATTAGGTGTATTCCTATTTGGTGGAAGTGTGATGGCCAATCAGACTGCGGGGATGGCTCAGATGAACCCCGGTCCTGCCCGACTCGCTACTGCCCCCTAGGCCAGTTTCAGTGCTATGATGGAAACTGCATCATCCCTCACCTTCTGTGCAACAAGCACAACGACTGTCATGATGGATCTGATGAGGACCCAGCCCTTTGCAGTTCGTACCAATGATTCCATTTAAATTCAGTAGAAATCCTGTCAGCGTTACTAAGTATGTTTTGTCCTTGTCTTATTTTAGATGAAGAAGGAGGATAAGGTGGAAGAGAGAAACTAAATATCAATTCACACTTTGTCTACAGTTGCACAAGAATATACACACTATGCATTGATTGGATAAAAAGCTAAATAAGATTCATACACACAATCCATAATAAAGTTGGTATGTTTATTTGCTTTTCTGTATGAACAGTTCTTTAAACTTAAAATGGAACACGTTCTTATTCGATGGAAGGCTCATTTTCCTCATTTAAACTTTAACAAATGGGGCTAAACTGTTGTTCACATTCCTTGGAGGGCTGTGGGCTGTGCTGTTAGCCAAAGTGTTTCAGAAAAGGAGGAGACCCGTGCTCTGTTTCCAGGCGATCACCGCTGTGAGGAGAGCCAGTTCCAGTGCGCCAATAAGCAGTGCATCCCTCTCTCCGGGCACTGCGACGGCATCGCAGACTGCGCCGATGGCAGTGATGAAAACGTCCAGGAGTGCCCTTCCAAGACGTGCCTCCCCGGGGAGTTCCAGTGTGCCAACAGGCGCTGCATCCCGCAGGCCTACGTGTGCGATGTGGAAGACGACTGCGGGGACAACTCTGACGAGCCCGATGAGTGCAGTGAGTCTGGACGCAGCCTGAGGCCCAGTCCCCGGACCCAGCCCTCCTCCGGATTGGAACTCTTAATGTAGTGCCCATCTGTAGGAAGGGGGAGAGAACTGAATCAAGTAATTATTGAACAAGTAAAGTTAAGGTAACAAATATCAGAATTAAATGAATTGAACACCAATATTGAAATAACAATCTAGGGAATAGTCAACATGGATTTTCAAAAGGCAGATCTTTCCACCCTTTTAGAGTTCTTTGAACAAACGACAACTGAAGTGGATACACAAGGTGTACCACATGGTTTTCAGAAAGCTGAAAGGCCTTCCCTCATTTGTAATTATGTTTGTGTTCTAGAGGAGGAGACATAATAAAGCTGATTTTATTTCTCTCGTATTCTCTATCTCTCTAGATGGTCCCGAGCACAGGTGTGATGGAGAGACAGAATTTTCCTGTAAGACCAATTACCAGTGCATCCCCCAGTGGGCTGTCTGCAATGGGAGATATGATTGTGTGGACAACAGCGATGAAGAGGACTGCGGTAAGCGCTGAGAGCTGGACTGCTGGACTGTGGATCACAGTGCTGTCAGTCTCAGGAGCCGGCACTGTGCTGCAGGCATGAGCCTTCTTGACTTCAAGCCTAACTCTGACCCAGTTCTGTTGGAAGAATCGGGAGGAATGTGGAGGTGGGGGCAGCTATTCAGAAACAAATTGGGGAAAAAGGAAAAAAGAATTCTCTGAGAAATCTTTAGGAACACTTTTTATTCTATCCTTGTCATGCTAAACTGTACAAACCTCACTGGAATGCTAAAACAAAGACTGCATACTACAGACTAATATACTATTCAGCCAAGCTTTTTTCTCTTTGGTCTTAGACAAAAGAGCAAAGGGTTTAGAGGATCATTGATCCATTATTCAATTAACTATTTTTGGCTTTTCCCTGTTCTCTTATATTTGCATAAATTCCATTTAAAAGTTACAAAGTACCACTTGGTGATAATGTAAGCATCTGAAAATACCAAAGCTGAAGTGTTTCATTAAAATCTTTTCCTTGTGGTTGTATATGCTCTTTCCAAAACTAAAATATGTCATGAAATGTACATGATGATTATTCCTTCTAATGACCTCAGAAATTATGCCTTTAGCATAGCCATTTCAGTAAAGACCAAATAGTGGTCTTAATTTACCCTTGCATGAATGTTTAGCCTTAAAACGCAAAAAGTAAAGGAAAAATATTTTAAAGTATGCCAGATATGAATCTTTTTTTGAAACTGGTCATAGGCAGTAACAGTGTAGTGCCAGTCTCGGTACAGTCCACATTAGAAGAATGGTGCATGCAATGTGACAATAAGGATTACTTCATTCATCCCTGTTTCGTCATGATGCATCGAAATCAACGTTGTCGTGGAAATGCCTGATGAAATCCTCCCCCTCCCCCTCTGTCAGAGAGCGTGACCTGCCACCCTCAGGGAGATTTCCGCTGCGACAACCACCTGTGCGTCCCTGTGCGCTGGCGGTGTGATGGCAAAGACGACTGCGGGGACGGCTCCGACGAGCACGACTGCGGTGAGTCTGCTGGAGGTGCAAGAGGCTGGGGCCCAACCTAACCTGAGAGTTCTTCCCACAGCATGGGCTGCAATCTGGGGGACGCTGCACGTTTCAGGAAACCGAAGGCCTCAGGAATCATGGCCTCCCAAGCAAATGAAAGTGTAATAGACATTGTTCTTCTCCCAAACAACACGGACCACAACAGAAGTGACTCCAAGCCTGACCAAGCCAAGTACCCCATTAACTGCTCAACTGTAGTATATTTATAAATGATTGAACAATTTATGACCTTTTTATGACTCTTTTGCATTTGCAACGTTGTATATGAAATCATGCCTAACTTGAAAGTCTTAAACTTTTTTTTTAATTGTGCAATCAAAATGGCCTTATGTGTGGATCATTCAGTATACACTGGTTTGCAGTAGAATGAGAATGTAGATTAAGAAATCTGAAAAGTACAAGATCCCGCAGGACTCCGTGTTTCACTCCTTCCTTCCCAAATCCAGATCTGTCTTAAGGGGTTGAGTGGAGCCTGAGACAGTTTTGCATTTGGAGAACTACAGCTTGATTTTCTTTGTTTTTCATTCACAGAAAGTATTCTAATGTAAAGATATACAATATTACATTGTTCTGGTAAAAAAAAAAAAGACTGCACTGACACCGACAGTGTCTTTTACTTAAGATTTTAAAAAGCTGCTTTTCTATGTACCTCATGTTTTTAATTTGAGAGCTGCTGTTTATTGGATTTGATGAAAAAGGATGCAGAACGTCGTACTGCGACAGCGTGGTGACCCACTCCGCTCTGTCTCCACAGTGCCACGAGATTGCACAGAGAGTGAGTTCCGATGCAGCAACCAGCTGTGCATCCCAGGAGCCTGGGTCTGCGACTATAACAACGACTGTGGGGACAACTCGGATGAGCACGACTGTGGTGAGGCCCCACGCCCTCATCTCCTGCTCTTCCCAAGCCTGCAGGATCCAGGAAGTAGGAAGGAAGCTGCCTTTTCCCATGAAGCATGTCTCCTTTCTTCAATTGTTTTGGAGAGCAGGACCTCTTCAACCAGGAGTCCTCGGAGACTGACTCCCCCTAACAGAAGATTCCCCCAAAACAAGACATTTTTACCCCAAGTGCTATAGCATGGATCTGGTGAAATGAGTCACTTTTAATACTTTAGAAGTTTTCAGCCCCAGTTTTTATAATAATTGAAGACTTTCATTTTTTGTAAAAAAATAATTTGCCTCCAATTCCCATGATCTGTCAACATCATGCAATATAAATCATGGCTCTGGCTCTGAAAAATGAGACTTTAGAAAAAGTTGCTTTTAAACTGGATTTTGAAAATGCAGAAAAACTCACAACTGTGGGGAGACGAACTCACTTTTGAACCATTACAAATTTTGATTTGGGCATCCACATTCATTAGGTTGTTAAACCGAGGTGGAACGTGTGCTTCGAATGAATGCCTGTGTTGGAGCTAAACGTTTCAAGACCTCATACGCCAGAAAAAAGAGTTTGGGAAATTAACGGGTACCCCCTTAATGGGCATTTCTCATCCCAGAGCTGAAGAAGTGTCTTCCCGGCTCATTCCAGTGCGACTCAGGTCATTGCATCTCCTCCTCTCTGCAGTGCGATGGGCGGCCAGACTGCTCGGACTTCACAGACGAGACCATGTGCCGTGAGTGTCAGCCCAGGACTGCGATTTGTATTCATTCTGAACTTATACAGCTTATTGATCTTAGTTACACAATTAGATGTTTATATTTATTTGCTGACTTGCGCAATTTTGCTGTGTACAGTATTATGCTACCTCAGTGGCAGTCCAGGAGAGGGACATTTTTTATTCACAGACATTCTCTGTTTGGTAAATCAGCTTAATGAGCCAAGACAAAATAAAAAAAGAATGGCACATTAGAGAATAAAATATATTCAAGGTAAGGAAAGAACAAGAGCAATATCATCTATCCTCTTTCTAGTAGAGTAGTAGAGTCCTCTTGTAGTTTAATGAGCTCCGTTAATGTGTACAGTGAATTGCAAAGCACAAAGAGGAGTAAGCACAAACACTTGTCATGGAGCCTCATGTTGTGAGAAAGCTACTTTGTTCTGGCAGAACTTTTAATATGCTAATTGGTCAAAATGCTAGGAGCCTCCAGTCCAACGAACGGACTCTCAGGATACATGGGGAAGACTTCACAGAGCTGTCACCCTTCCATAGAACAATTTTGTTCTTGGTCCTATTGAAAACCATTAAATCTGGTAAAAAGCATTGCTCCATCCCATGAATCGCCACCCTCCTTGAGACCTCATGAAGGTAACGCTGTTTGAAGAATGAAGTGGGAACAGGCAGCAAGATAGCAGATGCTTACAGTAAATTAACAGTAATTTAATAATCTCTGCTTAGAGTAAAAGAAGAGAAATGAATGTTGTTAGCTGATGAAAGAATGCTGTCTTCAGGAGACAGTGATGACAGATAGCTCTCCTTCAGAGTCATGGTAAGGACAGAGTCTAGGACAGGGTGAATTAATGAGCAGGCATGAGACGGGAAGGAAGCTTGAGGACTTGGAGCAAAACCTTGTCAGCACAGGGAGGACCCATGTGAATTTCATCAGGAAGATGCCCAGAATCGAACATGGACCCAAGGGTTTAATTAATACTCAGCAGGGCACAGGTATCCCACTATTAGATTAGCAGACTTCTTTTCTCTTTCAAATCTTCTTACAAATCACATTAACACCAAAAGTAACTGATTAGTGTGGAAAACATTCTTTGATGCTAAGTATAATCTGTACGGCTCACAGAAATAAGCTCTGATTTGACCATGAATGGCAAAGTGTTATAATGGTTTTATAAGAGTGGTTGTCAAAGATTAATTTACAGCCTCTGAGATTATCCATAACCAAATGAGAAGTGCAGTTATAAATAGATGCAAAAATAAAAGTGCAATTACATGAGAAAAGTTGTAAGACTTGTAACTTTTAAGAGTTGTAATTCTTATAAGATTTTCTGGAAGTATCATGACATTTCATGCTAGTCCATTGCATCCATTGCATCTGCAGGACTGGGGGCCCTCGGATGTCAGACAGCAGGACCACAGCAAGGGAACTGTTTCCAGACACCAGGTCTCGGTGAAAATGCCCTCTTTCCATTACTCTCGTCTTACACTGAGCTCTTGTTCTTCCTGCTCTTGTGCCCCACAGCGACACGCTATCCTGGGGGAAGATGGTGCCCACCAACCCAGTTTGAGTGTCACAACCACATCTGTGTCAGCAAGAGCTGGGTGTGTGATGGGTACGATGACTGTGGGGACCAGTCAGATGAGCAGCTTGGACTCTGCTGTAGGTGGAAATTCTGTGGCACTAGAATAAGCTCTAGAACTTAGTACAGCACTGTTCTCACACTATGATCTAACTTCTTTAATTAACAAAGATCTCCCTATTAAGTGCTTGGCATTGAACAGTCAATCTGTGATATGATTACACACTTTAAAGGGACCTTTAAAGTCAGCTGCACAAAATGGTAACATTTCCAGTGGTGCTCACTGAAATCCTATTGGACTCAGGACATGAAGGAAAAAGTTAAAACCTATGACCTTTTCAACCAAGTCTTCAAACCAAAATTTAGAGAAGAGTCTTTGTCTAGCTGGTCAGTCCACTGACCCAGGGGGTTTCTGTCTTTGTGATCCTGCAGTGACCCTCCCCTGTGAGCCGCCGGGGAGATTCCGCTGCAGCAATGGCTACTGTATCTACGCTGGGATGATATGCAATGGCAAAAATGATTGTGGTGACAGCAGTGACGAAACAGAAGACCTGTGTGAGTCATGCAGTGCTTTCAAACTGGTCGTTCCCATCATGTCTGTTACTGGACAATTACAAACCATGTAATTGTCACTTCACTTCCTGTAGATGTTGACTTTTTGTAGAACTTAAGCACTTGTTTCTGCTGGGACTTTGAAACCAAATTCCTTGGCTGTTCTGTTTCCCTTCCTCATTCCTGTCTGCTCTTCTGTAACCTTATTACCCTGTATTTGTTTTTTCATGTCCTCGACTGCCATGTTAAAAGATCAAAGATATTGTCTGCTTGTTGATTTCTTTCCGTTTGTTGAAATGTCACTTATCTTGCTGAAACTAGGTCTTTTTGAGGATAATTCCTGTGAGCTTATTTGTTTTTTTTGGCTTTTGGTTTGATTGGTTTTGTGCCAATATCCCTGATGTTATTTTAAAAATAAATAAAATGTCGGTAATAACTCCCTCAAAGCCCTCATTTAGAGCTTCTCACTAGGATAAATAAAATCCACACTGCCAACGGATGTCAGAGAGCCTGATTTTGAAAGAGCAGGTAATACCTATTTCTGTTTATACAAGTCCCCTTTATAACAATGCTTCCCACATGACCAGATTTTGCTTAGTTTATTGCCTTGCTTCACGTTGTATGGGTGCCTTTGTTCTAATCATTAATTCCCACTGTTATTGCATAGCTCAGTCATTTGAAGACACTTATCCACGGAAGGGGCTATACACACATAAGTGAGAGTGTGTGCATGTGTCTGTGCCCTGCAGGCCGGGAGCCCACTCCTGCACCCTGTACGCTCCAGGAGTTCAAGTGTGCAAACAGACGCTGCGTACCACTGACACACGTCTGCGACCACGTCGACAACTGCGGGGACCTGTCGGACGAGCTGGGCTGCAGTGAGTACGCAATGTTCGCGTCGCTGAGTCTCGGCTTCGGCGGCGTCGCTGGACTCGCTCTTCTTTCCATCTCGCTTGAACGTTTTCTATGACCGCAAGTGCAGACAGTACAAGGAGTGTTCACAATAACAGTAGCAGGGTAAAACAAGGTACGGTAAAACTGCTGAAGCAATTTTTACTTAAGGAAAACGTATTAAAAAAATTGACCAAGCAACTTTTGAAGCCTTTTGATTCATGATAAATCTATTCCACTTGTCCGTACTCCAAATAAACTGCTAGTTAGGCAGGCTAAAAACCAATGTGTAATTCCACTCACATCTCTTCTCATCCTAGGTTTGTACCGTTTTAATTTTACAATTAATTTCAGAGCAAAGAAGAGCTGACTTTATTGTTGTTAATACAGCTCCTTCTAGTTCTTTTTATTTTTACTTCTATCTTTCAAGACTTCGGTCACAACCGCAGCTGCGAGGAGAAACTGTGTGAGCACAACTGCACCAGCCTGAGTGGAGTGGGCTTCATCTGCTCCTGCCGGCCAGGCTTCTCTGTGGACCCCAAGAACCCCTTCAACTGCAACGGTAGCTTCAGAAACCAGACACCTGTCATTGGCACCCCAGCATTTACCCACGGCACAGCTTCACTGCATTAAAAGTATATAGATACCACAACACCTCCTCTGCTCAAATTCCGTTGGCAAGCCACAATATTTTAACCATGACCAAATCGTCTAGTCAGAAAGAGCAGATTCCCCCAGCAGACAACAGACAGGTGTTTTGCAGTATTCGGCAATTTTTTTTGCTTTTCAGTCAGAACTTGGAACTGGGGCGTCGTCTCTCATTCAATCTCATTTCCTCGTGTCTTTGTTGGTATTTCTTCTGTTCCAGGACTTAAAATACTCTGTTATATTGGCTGTCCATGCAAACAGATTAAAATGGCAAGGGTATTTTCAAACATGGGTGTTGTTTACTTCTGAACAGAAAATGTCCTCTCTGTGATTTAGCAGTAAGGCGTCTTTCGGTCTTCCCCAGATATCAACGAGTGTGACATTTACGGAACCTGCCCTCAGGACTGCAGGAACATGAAGGGCAGCTATGAGTGTCTGTGCGCCTCGGGCTACAGGAAGGTGGGAGCAGGGAGTGAGTGTGAAGCAGAAGGTAAGCAACAATTCTGACACGTCATGTTGTTTTGAGTGGCCAGATACCTGGCTTGAAGAAAAAGGGGTCATGTTAAGAAAAGCAGTGTTGACAGCCAGGTAGTGTGGTGAGGAGGGAGGGCTTACAACCCCTAGCACAAAAGGCACAGCAGAACGAAACACAACAGTTCATTTGCTAGCTTGGCCTACAGTATATGCATTTATGATGTTTCTACTCAATTTATGGATGTTTTTCAGAACTTGAACACTGTTATTATGTTTTTTGTTTGGCTGTCTGAATATGTCAGAGCTCTGCAGTTTGAGAGATATTGAGTTGAAACGTTATAACAATGACTGGGCTCTGCAAACTGGATCTTCAAATATAGTCTTTCCTTGGTTATAATTTGGTAGTAAAAGTAGCATACACTCATGGTTTCTTAAGATCTGCTGATAAGACTGGCAGAAGCAGTTGCTTGCACCTGTTCCTTGGGCTGATGTCAAAATGTAATCCAAAACTACAACAGGGTGGTCACTGAAGCATTTTTCTTTAAATTATTACAGTGCATCACATTTCACAGATTTTCAGCTGCACTAAAATGCATATTTATGTAAAATATTGTAATGCTGATGTTTTTAGAGAGAACAGTTGCGACTTATAGAAACCAGACAGCTGTGCAGCACGGTGGCACAGTGGTTGGCGCTGCTGCCTCGCCCGATTCCGGACCTGAGGTCTGTTTGTGTATCTGCCCTGAGATGGACTGGTGACCTGTCCAGGGTGTACCCCCGCCTGCTGGGATGGGCTCTGAGCTGGATGGGGCGGTTAGAAGATGGAGGTGGATGAAATAGTATTCAGCTGAAGCCCCCCTGTGTTTTGTCTGTGTGTGTTGTCTCTTAGGAGCCAGCCCTTTGATGTTGCTCCCGGAGAACATTCGAATCCGGAAATACAACCTGATGTTGGAGGAGTATCGCGACTACATCGAGGACCAGGAGCACATAGTAGCTTTGGACTATGACTGGGACCACAACAACACAGGGCACAGTAAGAGCTCCCATTCCCATATCCCTCCCCCTTCACAGCAGGGGCTGCCATCTGGCCATGGGATCTGAGCGGGTTTTGCCGTGCGCTCTTACTGTAAACTGAAAATTGTCAACGCAGCACAGGTGTAATCGCAGCTGTTAGTATGTCACCTTGGATAAAGCATTGAAATATAATTGAAAAATACAGTATCAGTCAAGATACGGAAAGATTCTCCCTGAAGCAGAATTAACCATCTAGTCGAATAACCGTATCCTACTGAGACAGGACAGGATTTTAAAGATGCCTTTAAACAGCTGTGCACTATTTTTAATTGTTTTAAAATGCAATATTGCTATGCACCATGCAAAAGGACAACAGGCTTGATATATAATAGAAAAAGGAGAGGATTAGAACATTTTTTATGATTCATTCAGCTTAATTATTTCATTTTTACCCCAGATATCCATGTTTCAGAAGTGCTAATTATCTTTTGCCATAGACTAATGAGTCTCCCTAAGTGTCATTGACTCTCCTAAATGAAATCTTTATTACTGATGAGCTGTTCATTCTATCCGATTGGAGGCGTGAATAATGAACAGCTGGTCTCTATCTTTTTTGCTGCTCACTGTAATTGACCAAAGTTATAATGATTATTTAATTGCGTGTCAGTTTGTTTATTCACTTTTCAATGGCAGTTGTGTTGCGGGTCATTGAGGCTGTCACTGTGCTGTTGAGCACAATACCGCAGAGCACATGGAGGGACACGGAAGCTGTGTTACTGTACTGCCCATCACAGATCTTGCCTGTGAACATGCATGCAGCTCCTCTGGCTCTATGGGTTTCTCTGATTTATCACCCTGCAGCCCAGCAGAGATTTGACCGTTTTCATTCTTTCTCTTAGAACTATGCAGATATTTGCAAATACATTTGTGGTTTGTTTAGCGAGATGTTCTCTGGGTTTAAAATGGAATTTTCTTGTCTTTGCCTTTAGGCATGGTTTACTTCACAATAGAGGGGAAGGGTACCAGTGAGGGAGCCATCAAAAGAGCCTACCTGCCCACTGAGGACAGTGACCACAGTAACAATGCTGCTGTGGCCTTGGCTCTTAACCTCAAATACATTATGAAGCCCAACGGCATTGCAGTGGATTGGGTAGGAAGGTAGGAGAATTCTATAAGTATATCTTTTTTTATCTTTTCAGATAAAAATATTATATTGGGAGACTGGAAAATAGTTTTTTGCTCTTCATAGCAAAATCATGTTGAACTGCAATTTTGTTAGTTTGATGCTCACAATTGCATTGATTAGAATCAGTCTTAACACATTGCCTGTTGTGTTGGTTAGTGTCTGAAGTTCTTTTTAAAAAGAAGCTACACTAATATTGAAAGGTTTTCATGGGCTTGTTATTTCGTAATTATTTTATATATACAAATTATTCCCTAATGCCAAAAATACAGATCTGTCTGTGTTTTCTTAAGTTGGCTGGGGCTTGAACGTTTGATCAGTTATTCCTGCCTGTGCATTGCACTTCCGGTTACCAAAAGGAATTTTGAAATTCCATACCCAAAACCTTGAATGTGCTTATGTAAATTTGTAGTACTGGTTTGTAACTGGAGTGGACAAAGATTCTAAATCTGTACTGCAAGGTACTCAAATGTCCTTGGAAGCAAAAGGGTAGCAAAAATAAATCAGCTTTGTATTTGCAATATGCTTTATATATCCAAAAATGCAAAAATCTCCAAAATGAAAATGCACCCTGAAACTGTTTGCAGAAACCTTTACTGGGCAGATGCAGGCAAGAAGAGGATAGAGGTGGCATTGCTGGATGGGCGCTACAGAAAACACCTGATCAAATCGGGCATTGATGAGCCTACTGCCCTGGCAGTGAACCCCAGGCTGAGGTGAGTCTAGTTAGGGTTTCCTACCACATCTTTCTGTCTGCAGTATTGCTGCCTTCCAAAAATGCAAATATCCTGGTCATAGTAAGTTGTACCTGCAACTTGTCTCTTGATGTTGTAACTAATGATGGCAGCAGTTAAAGTTATCCATTCTTTTGGGTGGTGCTTTAAAATATAGCACGACAATGACTCAAAACATACAGCACTGCAACCAAGGAATTCATCAGGAAAAAAATAGGAAAATCTAATTTTTAATAAATATTTAAGATCTTTAAAAAAATATTTATATTAGTAGATTATAGGAAATAGTGTATTGTCTGATGCTATGTAGTAATATATTATATTAGTGTTATAGTTGGATAATTGGATGGTATTTCATATACACTTTTTAGGTAAAACTTTCAAACCTGGTCTTGCACTCCCATCCATCAGGGTAGCTGGCAGCCTTATAACCTTATGGTCCTGGAAACCACTGTTTCATTCCAGTTTAATGCAAAGAGAGGTTACAAAGTAGAAGTGGCCATTTGGCCAATGAGTAGTGGGTGGTAGTGAGTGGTGAATTGATCTGAGGTTCTCCCGTGGAGCCGGTGATGGAAAGACCTATAAAACCTGTCGGACTGTGACTCCCCTGACCCCCCCAGCCCCCTCACTGGACCTGGACTGGACAGCCCTGGTTTAAGATATGAAGAGACTGCGTGAACTCAAGTTTCTATCTTCCTGCCTGTTGTGCAGGATGATGTACTGGACTGACTGGGGCAACACCCCGAAGATTGAGAGTGCCTGGATGGATGGACAGCAGAGGAAAGTCCTGGTGGACAGTCAGTTAGGATGGCCTACAGGACTATCCATTGATTATGCCAATAACGACCGCATCTACTGGTCTGATGCTAAGGAGAACCTCATAGAATCCATCCTGCCATCTGGAGAAGACCGGCGTATTGCCTTGTATATGGGTAAACACTCCGTTTAGGAGTTAACCACTGTAAATACTGTACCTGGCAGGTATTTACAATGAGGGTTTGGAATACGGAAGGAAAGCAAAGGGGCAGACTCTGAGGTTGAGTCTTTGATTTGAAAGAGCTCAGGAAAGGTGACTCTGATATCCTAAAGGATAGAATTCCAGGGCTTTGAGGCATAGCAGGAGAAGCCCCTGTCGCCCACAGTGTACAGATGGGCTTGGAGGACAGACAGGAGACCACAGTTAGAAAAATGAAAGTGGGGAGTAGGACAAAAGTAACTCCTGAATAAAACAGGCCATTATATTGTAGGGAAGCAAGGAGTCAAAGCGCAGTCCAGTGAGGGTTTGAGATGAGTTTAATTTGCATTGTTTGGCCATTTCAGGAGAAAACTAGGCCAGGATACACACAAGGTGAATATGAGTGACAATTACCAATTGTATTTGGACTCATAGAAAATCCTTCCAGTTAGGATCCAGTGGCTATTCCTTATAATGTTATCCCCACCTTCCAGTTAGTCCTGAGATGTCATGAGTAGGAAGCACTATCCTCCAAACCACTGTGCATTGATGTAAATTAATATACTTTATCTAGCTTTTACCATCATTTGCCACATTAAACCTTTACAGAGACATACCTGTCTGGTTCAGGAATCTTAATCTGAAGGAAGAACAATTACTGTTAGTTTACATGAAGCCTTTATCCTTGGGAACTGGCACCAGTACACACGGATTAGTTTCTTTACACAATTCAGTAAACAAATGCATAAATTACACCACTGAGCCAAGGAACAGTGCAAGATATACAATGTTAGCTACTAAGCATGATGCACAACCATAATTGATCATTTAAAGTACCAAAAAGTCAAGAACAGGTGTTTGCGTCTGCAGGATAGTAGCGTAGTGCTGGGGATGGACTGTAGGTTTAAGTGACTCAAGGCAGAGAGAAGGATTACAGATGCAGCCTGCAGAATCGTGTTTTAAGGGTCTACTGGATAGAGGTCAGAAATAGCGCATTCGTACTTGAATAATAGTCAAACATTCTTAAATGATATACAAATGTATCGCTCAATACAGTGCATATGAAAATCAGAATCAGGTAGGGTAGTTTATTTCAACAACAAAGTTTGAGGGCACATCCCACACACCTGCTGCTCTTAGCGTGACGCGATCCTCCTATTAGTATTGATCTTAATTGAACATGAGCTTGATTCCCTCTTGTGGGTGGAGAAGACTACTCTCAAATCACATTCCTCAAACAGGTACAGTACACATCACTTATTACTGTGTTGGTCATTCTTTCAGATTTGAAGAATCCCATAAGCCTGAGTGTGTTTGAAGATCAGATTTACTGGAGCACTCGAGAAAAAGGAGAAGTGTTCAGGCAGCACAAGTTTGGGAAAGGGTCAAAGGTCAAACTGTTGACTGCTGGCCCATGGCTGACCCAAGTAAACATCTATCAGCAGCAGAAATACAATGGCAAAGACAGTGAGTACACGCACAGTCAAACTGAAATCCCAAATTTTGCAAACAACCGAGTTTAAGGTTTCTGTGCTATTGTACTGCCCTTCATTCACATGTCTGTACTATTGAGTCTAATGTTCCAGTAATCAAAATACTGTATTTCCCATGCTAACACCTTCTGTACTGGTTCACTGTGCGCATCTCAGCCTCTTTTGGGATTTAGTTGCCGTCTCCATAGAGCAGGCAAGCAAACATGCATAAAAACCCATCCAGGTGACCCCTCATATTTGGAATGCCTTTCAAGCTCCAGAAGACTGTTCCACCATAGCATGGTCAAACATGTCCATATTCAGTTACCGTGATTGTCTGTTGTGATGTAGACATATTCCAAGTCATAAATCACAAGTTACATTTTCTCCCTATTTAAAAGGCATGACCAAGTAAATGAGGTTCAATCGCACACTGTAGATGCATTCCTTTTTTTACAATGTTTATGGAATTCAGAACAGTGAGAATACACAATCCATCAAGGAAACTGAGTAGCAAGTAATGACACTTGGGTTGGGGATAAGGGCTCGATTTCTGTGATCAGGAACTGACAATCGGCCTGTGTCTTGTCTGGTTCAGTCAGTAACCCATGCAAAGGAAATTGCAGCCACCTGTGCCTTTTGCAGCCCAGGGGGTATTCATGTGCATGCCCAGAGGGCACAAACTTCTTCCTGGGCAGCTTCATGATCTGTGATGCAGGTAGGTGAATTTTCCACAATGGATTTTTAACGGTTTTCACAATCTGAGCATTGCAGTTCCCTTGATGGAGAACTCTGGACGTTAGACTGTGCAGAGCTGCCCTGCTTGTGTCCTGACTAAATTGATTGTGTGAAGCCTTATCATACCACTTGTAGACACTGTTTAAAACCCAATATATCCTTGGAGTTCAACACAGCACTGTATCTGAATGATTTATTGTCATACAAATCTCCTTTAGTCCTGTACTCTTAGGATATAAGTACCTGTCTGCTGGGACAGGCTTATCTAAGACTGTGCTATGAGCTGTGGGAGGCCAAGTAGTGTGAATGTGTTTGCAACGTTTCCTGTCCCAGTTCAGGGTTTGATCTGAATCTGTGATCACAGCTGCAAAATTTAGTCATATAGAAATTACACTGTGTTGTGTATTGTTCATCCATGCAGTGATTCATTTTTGGTTCACTGCATGAAAGAAATATATAGAAGTTGCATAATGAATACTATATATATATATGGTTATTAATTCTTATTTCTAACATTTATCATACATTCTCTTGGTATGGCTGCCTTAAAATCTCAGTTTAAACAATCGATTGATTTCTCTCATGGTTATGGGTTATCTGAGGCTTAATGTGCTTACATTCAGCTGATTTCTCATGTACATTATTCTCGCATTGGCTTTCCCAAGCTATCAACAGGACACCTCTCTACATTAAGTTACATATGCAAAACGACTTTGCAAGCTTTTATTTTCAAGCAAATTCTAATTCTCAGCTCTCTTTCATCTCTGCAAGGGTCCGATCCTGTGCCTCCCACACCTCCCCTGTGTCTGTGTAAGAATGGCGCCACCTGTTACTACGACGATGGTCAAGCCAAGTGCAAGTAAGGAGCTGCTGCAGCAGCAATTTCTTGAAGCAGCTGCATTCTTTTTCTTTTCTTTTCACTGTATTCATTTTTGTTCTTAAATCCTAACAGATCAGGATCAAACACTTCCCTCTGGGAGAGCAGCTATTTCCTAAGTAAATTACTAGAATTTATAGATGTTAAAATCAACAAACCAATATTTTTGTTTGCCCTCTAGGTGTGCTCATGGTTGGCATGGAGATTTCTGCCAGATAGGAGAGAACCATCACTTTCAGCAGTCAGGTACTGTACATGTCAACATAACAGTCTCCTTTAGCAAGCACAACCAGTAAGAGATCTGCCAACTAAACCACATAATATCCTTGTGTAATGCACATTGATGCAGATGCTTTTGGTTCACGCATTGTCAAGTATGCCCTTCACTGTCATGCAATGAAGATCAGGTACAGAGATGCAACTTGAAGGGAATTGTCCATTGATGTCTTGAAGAAAGGGAAATGTGCTTTTCAAATGCAGCAGCAAGTGGTGGTGCAAAAGCCCCAGATGACAGAAACGCAGTCTGGTTAATTGCAGCCCCTTCATCCCTGCAGCAAAGGACTCAAGGTGGTTCTACAGGAAGCTGGTGTGAGACCTTAGCGGCCTATGGATGGAAAACTATGATCCATCTGAGGGATAATATATACAAAATAAAATCCTTGGATAATCAACCCAAGGGTTTAAATGGTCCCTTAATCATTAGCTTAAGTCTTGGATTTGTGTAATATATTTTCAGGTTTGACTCATGATAGAGCCCATATCCTCTGGATATGTGCTAGAGACTTGGAAAACCATCTGAGTTTAGGCCTCCAGGGGCTGGGTGTCAGATTATCTGCCCTTCGCCAGGTCTTGCCTGATTGGTTTTGGGAAGGGCAGAGGAGAACACTCTGCGGTGGTAGAGCCTGTACCCTCAGCGGATAAAGGCTGATGCACTGTCGTCTGTGTTTGTAGTGGGTCTTGCTGTGGGAGTGTCCCTGGCCGTGCTGGTTCTGTTGGCATGTCTGGTCTATGCCGCCCAAACCAAATCCAGGCTCAGGTCGGTCATGAGCTACGACAGCATCGTCAGTTTCTTCAGGTGAGTCTGTGCACCAGGCCACCGGTCAATCAGACCAGAAGCACATGTCCCTCTTTACAAATTCTTCTTCTCAAAACGCTTTCTGAGCCATAAAGAAAAATATTTACAAGTGTAAGCCTTCGTTGTAGGAGTGAATGATGTGATTTGGGTGAAATCACGCAGAGCTATAATATGTACTATATTAAATGTGGTTGTATGATAAATAACAAGGTAAAATAAAGTATAGAATAAAGTTGATACATCATAATATATAACTACAAAAAGATTGTGAAACTTTTATTTTGCCTAATCATTATACAAAACCAATGCAGTGAATTCATATTTTCTACTTTTTCACAAAAATCAGTAGCCTAATTTGATGGATAATTTTCATTTGTTAAATTTATTAGTCACTTATCTCCGGTAAGAGATTAAGAGAACATTACGATTGTTGAAAACATGGTATGAACTGAACTTGGAAATGACTATTTTCATTAACTAAGTTTGGATAGTTCTTAGTTATAAATAATGTATTGGTGGATACTTTAGTGTTGATGCAGACAATCTCTCAAAAGTCTTTCTTCTTCAGAAACATTCATTTTCATTCACAGAGAAGAAAGCTGGTGTGAATCAAACTATTAACATATTAACTATACCAAGCTCCAGTTCACACTGCAGTGTCATTGTATGATAATCATGTGCTCCAAAACCTTTTCATACTGCCACACAGGTGGAGCATCCTCTTCAGCCACAAAAAGGGGTCCTTGTGCTGGCGCGTAACCCCCATTGCAATGTCTGGACAGACTAACTCATCCACTCGAGTCCAAAAATAACAGCAGTTTCATACATACAATAAATATGCTGCAATATTTTGCATTAATAAAGTTTATCTACGATCTGTCCTTCATTGTAAAATGTTATGTACTGTAGCTGCCATGAACTAATGTGCAGTTTAGTGAGTAAATATAATGCCTAAATAAATAAAACAGTGGTAGCTAATTGATTTGTACATTATGTTTATTGTTGAGGGCTCATAGATACATCAAGCTGCTGGAGACCAGGTCTAAAATACTAATTGTGCTGCAAACACCTTTGAAGTGCTGTTGATTTGTGCACACACACATTGTTAAATAATCATAAAAGAAACCGAATGTCAGAGAAGCACAGAAGCTTAGAATGCTACATGTTATGAAGACAGACTTCATAATGGTTTGTAAAAAGTATTTTCTTACAGGCAGTAAGAAAAGTCCTGGGTTGAATGTTGGGATGGGGTGCCTTGTCGGCTGCACGTTCTCCCTATGTTTTTGCATGAGTGTTTTCCAGTGCTACACTTTCCTTCCACTGCTTAAAGACTGGTTAGGTTTGATCAGCTCTTCTGATTTGTCTCTTTCTGTGTGGCCCTGCAATGGACAAGTTTACCGTCCAGGGTGAGCAGTCTTATTCTCTCGGAATCACCTTGTAACCTGTGCTTCTGGGAACAGGCTCTTTGTTGGTGACCCTCACCAGGAATATCATCTTGCTTATATTGGATAGACATATAAAATTGTGCGTCTAAATGATGTTTTTCAGGAATCATACACAACACTTCAGTCCCTCCAATGTCTCACACACAGCAGAGGTGGCAGTCTACTTTGTAAACCTCAGTCCGGTCTGTATTACTTTATCTCATTATGAACGTATTCTTTCACATCTGTTTCCTGTGAATCTCAGTCTCTTTCCCAGTGAATCAACCAGGTGGTTAGAGGAAGTCAGTGCAGCTCTGCATAATTTTCCAAGAACATCTGGTTGATTATGATAAATACAAAAGCGAAAACAAAGCATTGCAATCAATGCAATAATAATCAAACTATTATAGAGTTTAAAATGTCATGTGTTTTGCTATGCCTGCTTGAAGATGTTGTACTTCATTTATGACAGAGGGCATGTAGCAGTGAGTGAACTGGCAGCTGATCTTTCACGTGAGGGGCAGCATTGCTGTCTGACAGTGCTGGGGCCCTGGCTTCAGTTCCTGGGGTGCTCTCCTCGTGGAGTTTGTATGTTCTCCCCATGATAAAGACAAATACCAACAGCCAATACTTATTTATAATAATATAAAGCTATTTACCTATAAACCCAAAACAATTCTCTCAGGATGAAAAGTAAACAAGTTATTGAAAGATCTCAACAGAGATATTGCAATGAAGGCATGAAACAGTCCTTGAAACAAACCTGAAATAAAATAGGGATTCAAAAGTGTTTGGAAGAGCAAACCCTTCTATGTATAAATATCATGAGCATTATTACAGTATCAAGGTCACAAGGTCAGGCTAACGACTACTGCAGTGAATGTGTCTGTTCTCTTTAGCATTGTGTTGCATGTACAGTACATTTTAAAAGCATCAAAATAAAAATCTAATGCTTCTTCTAGCCTGAATGCTATTGAAAACTGGCTTAAACCGGCTGTGGCATTATGTTCCCCTTTAGAATACATATTTTTTAATTTTCAAACGGCCTCTAGCTTTTCACAAGTTATTTTTGAAGCCAGAGAAAGGCTGGCTGTGTCCCTCAGGCCTGACAAAGCACTGTGTCGGAGTTTTGAAGGGCAGTCCTTGGGAAGCCAGAGGGCTCTTTATTGCAGAGCACTGGAGTAGAGCTGCGAGTGGGCATCTCGCTGGGCCTGTTCTCCATGCACCTCTCTCTCTCTCTCACTGTGGGCTTATTAGGATGCAACACTGCACCTTCTAGCAGTCTGAAGGGCACAGGCTGGCACTTGTCTGGCTGAGGTTGTGCTAGCTATTAACAGATTTTAACCATTTTCTTCTCAGCAGCAAGTGACTGCAGATGCTGAAGCACAAAACGGAGAGAACTTTGACAACCCAGTGTACTCCTCTTTGACTGTTAACGGAGAGGTACCAAACTCTGCTACCAACACATCCACCAAGGTATTGGCATGATGTTGATCATATACTGCCCAAGAGACTAGATCCTAATAGCTCCATAAACTGTATGCTGCCTTATATCTATTTGAAAACTCACAAATCCTAAATCTGTAACGAATGGAAAGCCCGCATCTGCTTGGTAACTAATTGAATCCAGAGTTTTCCCAAATGAAATATAAAATGTGCTCTTTGGATAAAAGTCGGGCCCAGGACAAGAGCTGGAACTCTGTTCTCCCGTTAATAGATTAGAAATGCATAAAGTGTTGATCCTCAGAAGAGCAAAACTTGAAAATGATGTGGCTCTGAACTATTTGCAGCTAATTCCCATTCACACTCTTCTAGCAGAACGGGCTTTAGTTGATGACATAAGGAGGGTAACGTTGTGTGAGATTGAACTGCATGGTCCACTGGTTCAACTGCTGTTCAACTGGATTGAAAGCTGTGGATTGTTCTGGCTGCACAAAATGGAGGATTGTTGATGTTCTCGACTATATACAGTATCATGGCGAATTGGTACTTAGAATGAACTTGCAACATTACAGTGGGTTTTACAGTACGTGGATTAACACAAAGCTTTTCATAATTCCACTGCTTTGGGGGCAGTTTATTTAATGTGTTGTAGTTCTGCTACTTAGTGGAGCCTTCTCATTTACCACAAACTGTTCATTATGCTGTAGGACAAACAGAACGGATAAGGTAAACGAGGCTTGTGGTTGCTTGGGAATAACAGTGCAGTTGGTTGAATTGTTCTTTTTTTCTTCCCGCAGATCCAAGGTTTATTCAAGGATAATTTGCCCAGTGACGCTTTTGACAATCCGTTTTATGAGGTAGGACAAAGGGGATTGCGTTAAAACAATCGTGCACCTAACATGCACATTGTTTCCCTTTAAGACTCCAAAACAGTTCAAATAATTTACAGTAAAAGTCCTTCACACGCTTGAGGGTGTTCCTTTACCCAGTAATTACTTAAATCATGTTTTCTACTTGTTGCCAAGATCACAAGATTTATTCATTGCTCCAAGGTGTCAAATAAATTCTGTTGCCACAGTTTTCAGCTGCTGTGCCTCTCTCCCTATCCACTAGAAAAGCTGAAAAGCTCGAAAAACTCTCTGAAATCACTTTTGTATAAACCGATTTTATCCAATGTGTTACTTATAAACTGTGCTAAGGCTTGAAAGCTCTGGAGTCCTTTGACATGGAGGGGACAATACAGTAGAAAAATGGAATTGCCCATGGTGAGAGTCTGTCAGCTTGAAGACTTACTGACAGCTACTGCCCGATAATATAGTGCATCCTTCCTGAAAATAAGACTGATTGTTCTGCCCTTTTGGACTCTTTTGATCTGCTCGCAATTCATGATTCATGTTTGCAGTTTATCTTTTTAGACAGTTGCATAGCGTGTCTGACACTAAAAACAGTGTGATGAACTGCAGCAGCAAAGTGATAAATAGTGCAGAAAGAAAACATTCATTACACTTCGGGTGGGGTGAGGAAACGGGGTGTGTGGCATGCAGAGAGGTGGTAAGCCCAGTCCTTGATGGGTTTCTAGGTTTTAGCTTTCTAATTCTTTATGGATTTTCAACATAATTGTGAAGCGGCTAGCAAAGCTTCATCACAGTGCTGGGGCCCTGGGTTCAATTCCTGGGGTGCTGCCTGCATGGCGTTTGTACTGTATGTTCTCCCCATGTTTGTGTGGGTTTCCTCCTACAGTCCAAAGACATACTGGTAGGTTAATTGATGTCTGGGAAAACTATCCCTGCTGTCCAGGGTGTCTCCATTTCTTGCTGGGGTAGGCAGGAGCTGCCCCACGCTCCTGTATTGGATAAAGCAGTTAGAAAATAGATGGCCGATGGTGCCTCATACTGAAGTGTCATTTACCGAATGGCTAAATAGCGTGGCATATCAAATCTCGTTAACCCAAGCTGCAGGGAAGTACATGGATGTTGCACAGCACTCAGTGTTGGGGGGTCGTCCCGGACAGGGAAGGTGAAAACAAAATGCTTCTCCTTGAGAGAGTCTGAATTGAGAGGGCAGCAAGGTTCAAAAATAAAAAAAAAAGACACAAATTTCCCCTTGGATTCAGATTTAAACCTAGACAACCTTTGAATATGTGGGGAAATTTATCTATACAAATTAAATAGGAAAAGTATAAGAATGCATTGTATTCCTCTGGTTTTAAATATGTAATGTAAAATTTAATATCTACTGTATGTATGGAGAGAGCTATATGGATTTAATAAAGCTGTTGAATCTCTGTATCTAATTGCTAAACTTTTATAGTATTTTTCTTCCTTACTAAGCATGTTTTTCTTTAATATAGTAATTGCAAAGGTCATTTTGTTTAGTCTTATTTTAGAAGAAAAATGCGCTGTTGATTGTGTTAGTCTGGAAGTTGGCTTAATTGCCAACCTCCTTGGCATTTTTAAACAAATGCTTTGAACTACTAGATTCTTTACACATTTTTTGTATTCTGTCACTTGTTTAACAAGTTTTTTTTGTAATTTAATAAGATCTTTTTATTTATTCATTGAAGTTTTATCCTCATGCTTTTCTTACAGGATTCAGCAAACAAGAATGCGGAGAATCAGTAATTAAATTCTGTGGGAAAATACAGGTCTGTGCAATCTGGAAGTTTCACCTGCTGTAATTACGGAAATACGTTACACCTACTGCAAAGCACTTCACTTGGAACTGCGGAATACCATCAGAAGGTTATTGCGAGACCCAGTCTATGACTTTGTAACTGTGTAATTAATTCTTTATATTTGTCTTATACAGTAAATGGACTCATTGTAACAATTCTGAAATAAATGATTTGATTCCTTATGGCTTGGTTTCAAATTTGGAAGGCAATGACAGACGAAACTGAGTGTCTGTGCCATATACAGTCCTTAAGCATATACTGTTGGGCAGTTGGTGCATATGCCATATGGCTTGCCCAATAGATACTTCAGATGGGTCTGGAAGTTGTGAACCAGAATGCATCTACATATTTAGTGAACAAGCTGTGATGTGGGGTATGGTCAGCCTTGGCTTTAAACTGGGTGATAAATACTTTACCACACTGATCCTTGCAAATACCGTGAAGCAGTATAGTACATTTCTCAGAAACCTGGAACACGTTTTATCACAACATCGCCACGGTCCAGTACAGCAAAGCATACTGTAGGTGTGTTATATGTAGGGAAAACCACAACAAACCCATCGTAACCATGGAAAAGATTCTACGGAAAATTCTCCAAGCTAAACTTTCAAGTTATAGTGGATACAAAAGTTTTATCCAGTTAAAGTTTTTATGGACCATTTACACTTTCTTTTAACTACTATGGAAATTTCCCAGGAAAAATGCTCAGTGTAACAGTCTCCAGTCCAGTAGACTGGACCTCTTGAAGTTTTACTGAGACGCCATCAATATTTAAAGTTCTCATCTTTCTTCTCAGTTCCGCCCCACTACAGAAGGCCACCTCCTCTTTCCGATGGAAAAACACCTTCATACAGCCCAGGGATTCCCAGCAATGTTATCTGAACAAACTGAAACGCTCAAGTGCAGTTCAAGTGCTGACAGGAATATCAGCCAGTTTAAAGCCTTTGCTCCTGGCTGCAGCTGTTTGGAAGAAGAGCCTGACCTTGTAGCACCCCAGAGGAACAGTCAGGGAAGGCAGCCATAGATAGGATGCAGATAAATGACTGAGGCAGAGAAGAGGCTGTGCTGTTGCATTCTAGAACCCAGCAGCTTCTTTCAAAAAATCTTCAACTTGAAACCAAGAGCCCAGACATGAGTACTTGGGGATATAATTATAACTAGTCACAGACCATGATCAAAGCCGCAATATCAGCCATTGCGGTTGCAACCTGTATAGAAGACTTTGCTCATCATCCACTGGATAAGATATCCAAAAGAAAGTTTTAAAGTTCCCCTGTGCATTTACAAAGTTCATAAGTGTAATACAGACAGTCTCCGCACTCTGATTTCAGTAATTGAACTAGTTAAGTGGATGAACTGTGTGATGACTGCATGAGTAACCCATAGATTCTGTTTTTGCTTAAACTTCTTCATCCTATTCTATCCTTTGCCAGAATCCAAACAGAATAGTTCGCATTTTATACGTTTTTGAAGAGGTATGAATTACACAAAGATTGTGCCACATTTCTTATCAAATTCCAGAAGACGAGCAAGACTGTACCTAGTCATCCCTGGGAAGGGAGACCTCAGCTTGGCGCTGTAAGTGGTGTTGAGAGACCAGTAGGGGACACTCTGGGAGCTGAATTTTGTACTGTGCTGTACTGTAGATGAGAAGTTAGAATGAGGTGCTGACTGTTGTTGTTATCAAAGATCCCATGGCAGAGTTCAAAAGAGGAGGAGTGTTAAATTCCGTGTTCACTCTGGGCTTGTGCAAACTGACCTCTCTTAAGTTCCCTCTTGATTTAGCTATGTGCCATTGCTCTACCTGATACAGTATGGGATAAAGGACCTAGCTTCTGGTGCAGAAGGGCTGCTACACATCACCCAGGTAGGGCTGCACTTCAGTGGTGGATGGAAGTGGGTCTCCTTCAATATGTTAAACTCTGGGGTGCTTTGGAATTGAAGGCAGTATAAAATACAAGGAATTATGAATGTTATGTGTAAAAGCGTTTACATCACAATCCTACAAAAAACTATGAAGGTAACCATTCTATCACACAAGAAGGATTCATATTAAGTTTCATAGTAGCTTTATGCTTGCCATAATTTCCTTACAAAATGAGGAACTGAGAAATTTCATTTTTCAGAATAATCCCTGTGACTGCAGAAAAGCACATAGCAGATTGAAAGCACTAAATCTTTTTAGCCTTACTAGACGATGGCTCATGTGAGTCTTGACTGAGATTTTGAAGAGGATTAAAAAAAGCAGATTTAACCAGTAATGTCAGCTCTAGACATAAATGGAAATATGAAATTTGATTCATATACTGTTCTAAGCATTTCTTTAGTTTTAGAATTAAAAAAATATTTTGTGCAGGATATTGTAAAGAAAGAGTACCAAGAAAAGAGTATGTAAGGTAAATATAAGCCTGTAATTAGCTACCCAGCTATGCTGTTAAATCTAATTCCATTGCCTCTTTCAAAAAATGGTTTGCAAATGACATGTTTCAAATGGTAGGAACAGTAGCTTTATCTGGTACATGGTATTAGAATTAAACTCAATCAGTATACTGTACTTTTGTACTGTACCTTTAAATGGAAAAAGTGCATACTAAATACACATTGTTCTACAGGCTATATGGCCCATCTACTTTTTTTGCTTTCAAAGCCTTCCATCAAAGGGGAAACACACCTACACTTCCAAACTTCTGGACAGTTTTGTTAAGGAAAGCTGTATGAACACAGGTTGTCGCAAGCTTCCGTTTCCTATTTGTTGTGTACTGTATGTTCTGTATCAGCAGACTGATCGCATGAGAGGAAGTTATCTGGCCCACCCTGCTAATTTAATATCGAACAAGGGATTTTAACTAGACATTCCTGGACAGGAGGCTGCTACATTAAAGAAGTTATGGCAGTAAGCCTGTTAGTTCTTTTACTTTGAAAAAGTTCATTCCAATTGAAATTTTTACAGACTGATGTAAAGAAACGTAGGAATGTGATGGGATCAGAAGGCTGTAGCTACAGAAGCCATGTGCCAGCCTGCAAAACTGAAATCTGAATCTAAACAGCCAAGGGCACTCCCTTCATGTTCTGCCAGAGAGAAGGTTTTACTTGTGGGTTTGCACAGTTTTGGAAAAGACAGAGAGACACTTTACTGCTTTATCTCATACAGAACATGAACATAACTTTGATGAAGTGGTAGGATATAAGGAGCAAGGATTTGCAGAACAGGTTCTTAATGTAACCCTTTTAACGTGAAACTCCCATTTGCCTAATTTTCGAAGTGCCTATTACTAAACAAACACCCTATGATGTTGGAATTGGCTCTTTTGAATTTCTATATTTTTGAGAAACACACAGAAGCCAGATCTTTGATGAATTCCATTTTCTAACCACTTCATTCAATTCTGGTTTGCAGGGGAGCATCCCATGACACACACACAGATACACACAGGTCCAATTTCCCCAGAAGGCAACTAACCTAACAGCACGTCTTTGGACCGTGGGAAGGAAACCAGAGGACCCGGCCATCTGAAATTGAACCAGGGCCGCTAACCACTGTGTTGCCCTCTGTTAAATTCTCTAGCCCCAGTGAACTACCCAAGTAGTCAGGACCTTGGGTTATTGAACTTATTTGAAAGATGGAACCTCTTACAGCACAGGCTTACTATTCTGGGGCAATAGGACATCTACAGGGGAAATATTGTAATCCTTTCTCTTTTCCAGTCTCTGTGTGGGGTTATTCAGTACAATATGTCCAAATACAATTTGTATTCAGTGTCCACAGTGTAGTTCTGTTTTGTACCCTTTGCTTTCAAGACTGGGCTCAGGCTGACATAACCCTTACCAGGAATAAGTAAGATTCTGATAATGAATGGATTCAGCTACATTATTCTTTCCCTCATTTACCTGTTATAATATAAGATGTGTTATGAAAACTAGCATTAACAAACATATTTTGACTTTCCTGCTTGGGTATATTCAGTGTGGAATATACAGTAAACATCTGTGACAGCAGTAGGTTCTGCTGCTTAATTATCTGTGGAACTGTGTGTCTCATGAGATTTCGGCATTGTTGAACTCTCCAATAGTAGCGTTTGGAAACCCCAAACACCACCACAACCAGAAGCTGTTTCCTTGTACTGAACCGGGTTTTCCATCCAAGGTTGGGGAGCTGGGAGCGTGGGGGTCGTTATGACTGGGAATCCCGTGTTCAGGCCCTGGGCGCTAACCCGAGATGAAAATCGATAGGCCACTTAACAGCTCAGAGCTTCTCTGAGTCATTTTGACTACCTAAACTGTGAAACAAGAATGAAATCCAATAAATATCGACTGAAGTGTAATATGAGCCCAGACTTCATCTTTACAAACTAAACCTGACGTGAGATGCTGTTGTTGACTCTGGCAGTAGGCTTGCAGCAGTACTGTTGGGGAATGACATTAAAACTAGAAAGCGTGTCCACAGGTTGTCTGCTGTTCCGTTCTTTGAATTTAAAGTAGCTGACATCAGCAGCTTTGCCTGTCATGTCTTTTTTTGGGTTCATTATCCTATTAAATGATCTTTTCTGCCTTTTCTTGCTTTGAATATTTGCTATTCCAGAGGCAGCTCGCTTCTCTAAAGCCCAATTTTAAACCTGTGCAGAATTATTCTTTCAGCCTCTCCAGAATATAACAATCCTTTTTCTTATTTTCTAAAGGGGGTGGAGCCTCTATCTCTAGATGAGGGGCTAACTTGTTATGAATGTTATTTCAGTTTCTTTTTCATGATATGCAGTACTGTGTGTATCGCCCATGTCCTCTGGGCGCTCTGGTTTCCTCCCATACTCCAAAAACATACTGGTAAGTAAATTGGCTTCCAGGAAGATTGGCCCTGGTGTGAGAGTGTGTGTGTGTGTGCCCTGCAATGGCCTGCTGTCCTGTCCAGGCTGTAGCCTGCCTTGTAACTGTTGCTTGCTGGGCTAGGCTCTGGCTCCCCCGCGGCCCTGAATTGGAAGAAGAGTAGTGGTGGTCTGGTATAGGAAGAATAATAGCTGGATATCAAATGCTACCTAAATGGAAAAGAGATGAAAGTTAGGTATGCTTCCGAGGACTGACTTTGTAGAGAGCTGCTAGTAAGACTTAAAAGAATAAGATGCTTACAGTTTAACCTTAATACAGTTTTAACCTTTATTTTTTCAGTACTGCATATATTGCATTTTTATGC